GGCACATAGTACCGTGATTGGCCACTACCGATTAACCAATTTCATGTTGTCTATTCCTTACTTTTGTCAGTATTTTTCATATGATTATGTTGCTGGGGGTCGAAATCTCAGTGGGAATGTCAGTTCTCTTGATAGTTCAGACACGCCTTGCTGAAAAATGTCAGGTCTCTCACTTCCTATCGATCCCTTCCAATTGTATGACATCATCCGAGACTGTAATTTAACGGGTCGTATTTCTTAGTTATTGAACCAAGTGTAATTCATTTTGAGCTAATGGTTACCAACTAAGATTTTCAGCTGAGTCTTATCTGTTTTGCTGTTTGCTTACAAGCTTTGCTGGAGTTCCTTTGATTTGATTTGAAATATGATGACCAAGTCTAGTGACTTTATTTCACGATGCACTATAAATGATGTTAGATGTCTCAATGTGTTTGATTTGTGAGTGCTAAGAGACATGAGGTGTATGTCTGGAAGTTACTGTTGATGATCCGAAATCAAATGCTACAAATTGATCTCACTAAAAAAAGCTGACTGATCATTTTCAACTCATGCTAGGAAAAGTAACACTGGTTATTTATTGGTGATAAATGAAACAGAAAAAATAGATAAATTTCCACTGAAAACGATACAGATAAAAAATAGAAGCAGATAAGAATATAAATTTGCTTTTAAAATGTAGGTGAACACGCAGCGGCTTACTATATAGCTATCGAAAATGGCCATGACAGTTTCATGGATTTGAGTCGTTGCTTCTGTGCATCAGTTGTTAGTGATGAAACCACAAACTGTGTGATTTTGAGGTTAGGCATAGATAATAAGGTAAAATCGTCAAGTAAGCCGATAACGTTTTAGGCTTTTGTTGTTTGAGATAGATGAAGCAAATGCTTTATCCATAAAGGGACACCATCTACCGGTGGGCACAATGTTATCTACCGTTGGTTTAGGTTGGCAAATGCTTGATGATGGTCAGAAAAAGACGGGGTACCAATATGTAAAGTGATGCGCTTTCGGCTTGGGTTGATTGAAGAACGTTCAGTATTTCTATTAAGTGTCCATGAGGTAATTGAAATGAATAGTTGAAGATTTGATTTGATCTTTCCTGAAATCACCTGCAGTAGTGTGGATGGATTCATTCTTTGTTTTTCTTCCAACTGCAGATTTCTATGTCATTGTCGCATTTGTCCTTGCAAGTTTCTTTGTCTTAGTGTTTTTCCAGTTATTTCTGCAGTCATTATTCCCATTTCTTTCTTTTCTCTAGTGGACTTTGGTCTTGACTTGTTACTGTTAAGTGTTGGATTTTTTTAAGAACAATCAGATAGCGCATTTTCACATTTTAGTAGTGAAAAATCTTTACACTGCAATGTTTCGATCAAAGAACTTTTCTTGCACTTATTGACAACAGAAACAAACAGATGAACGTTTTTGATACCGTTTATCTTGATGTATCAGAAAGTTGACCATAATATAAAAGACATAATCTTGAGACAATAGGCTATGAAATTATCCATACAATGAATACCGACTGAAGAAATAAATGATTACGGTAAAATCAGTATTATTTTTATAGGAAGCGCTATTCGGTGTTTTGTTTGTACATGAAAATAAGTGAAAAAATAGTGGTAAAGTTCTTAAATGAGAAACTAATTTTTTTCAATTTATGGTCATTTTTCACATTTTTGCATTCTAGCAATATCTCATTAAATAAGCGGAATACAGAACTTGTTATCCTAGAGTGTACAGCAAGTGTGAGCAAGGTTTTTGTTGATAACGGGACTATTCGTAAGAGAGTTATTAGGTGCGAAAGAGGATACTGCTGTCTATTTTTCCGTGGATTTCAACAGCTTTGATTGAAACGAAGGTGAACGCAGACACATTTATTTTGAACTATAGAATGACATTCTTTTACACTAAACCTGATTTTCAACCGTTCAGCTTAGAATCGACATTCGAGGTTGGGCATGTGCTTCGTATCTTGCTTCTGTTTCAGTGTAGTAATTTTTATTTTAGCTACGTTTATATATAAACAATAAAGTGTTTTCACTAAAGTTTTCTTGCAAGGTCAGGTATCATTCACTCTTAGCGTATTGAATTGTTGGTTACTAAGAGAGATGACTCTTTATTCGGGATCAATTCACAATAATCTCTCCATACGTTTTCATCATATTTTCCCCTTTAATTAATAGGCTCGGTGTACATCATTATAATGGTATATGCCTTTCCGAATGGATATAAGACAAAATTGATTTTACTGAATTTGTGCTGTATGTTAGTCATAGGTTTGTTATAAAGACTGTCTGAAAAATCTGTTGTCTGGTGGACTGATATTACTGATACGATGTGATGGTTGAATGTGAAATGAAAACTTGAATCGCTGCAAGATTCAATTAAATAATACTGTATCACTGTGCGCTTTATATCAAATAAACAAATCTAATATAGAATTCAAACCTACGGCCTACAGATACTAGTGTGGTGCTCTACCTGCTGAGTTGCAAGCCGGTATCTAGAAGCCCCTGACATGAACCCCACCGTGACCCAGGTTTCCGTTACAACTGTAACTATTATCTCCTACCAATATTATCAGTTCATAGAACCACGGCTATCTCAAACTATCCCTCCAATATTCAATACAATGCTCCCCTTCTCCAATTTTCATCGATTTGGATGAGGATAGGAAGTTGTTGCTGAGTAGCCAGTGTGATTAGGATGAATGAATAGTTATGCATCGTGCAATCACACGATATCTAGGCAAAATCAACGGTGATTGAAGTAAAGTCAGAAGTCGGAGTCTTGTAGCTCAGCCAGTATCCAGAGGGTGCAGGTTTGAATCCTTTCAGAGCCCGTGTCTTCAGTGAATTTTCACTTATCATCTAGTATCATTAATCGTCTTGTCAAAGTAAATAAAAGGAGGAATTCGCTATATCAAAACTTATTTAACTGTTGCTTGATCATCGATTAAATATTACTTTGGTCAAGTTAGCATCTATGTCAGTTTTAATATTGTATATTCGCGTTTACTATTACCTCGAAAAAGCTACTGGTAATAAATTACAAAATGTCAGTAAACGCAAGTATATATGGCTTTTTATTCATTGGTAGATACAAGTAATTCATTAATCACTATCGTTCACGCAATGCTTTTTTTTCAGGCTGTCATATCCATAAGTCATGTGCTAAACAATTTCCTTATTTTCGTTAGTCACTGTTCATACCTAATATTTAACCGTATTCATTCTCTTAGATTGTTTCTGGAAATCCGCAAATATGTCTTCATCATTACTGCTACTCATGCGTCCAATAAACAATCTATTGGTTTTCATCACAGTTTTACTCAATTTAAGTTGATATACTGTATGATTAGTGTTTAGTCCACTAAAGCAAAACAAAAAAGTCCTTTTGGTAATTTATTTCATTGTTATGTTTGTTTGCTGAATGAAATTCAACCAACAAGTCTAGTTTCGTGGGGATTCTTCGTCAGAATATGCAATCCATCGACATGAATTACATCGAAGTTAAACTTGAATTGCGTACCATCATGTTCTGATTTGATAGACTGGATGAATATTACTCTTCAGAATTTCTTTTACTTTATCCTATTAAGCCTCCTTTAAATTTGACGGTTATTTGTCATAACCACATCTGCTAACATTATGATCCTTAATCCTTCCTTAACTTTCATTCTATCAATAAAAACTTAAGTGAGATTCTGCACTAATTCATTCTCTTGTATTATGAACTAGTTTCTTCAGTCTGTTATCTGCAAGTATGCAAATGCAACTGTTTATCGGAGTTGTTTGTTTGTTGTACGCTCTACACTTTGTAGTATAGGCTTTTAATAATAGAAAGTGAAGTGATAGGAAGTGTTGACCACCTCACTTGGGGAGTTGTTTAAGTTCAGACGGGCTGGTTGCTAACGAAATCTCAGCTTAGATACAAAAGATCCGTTTTGCACTTGCCAACTTCCCTCACCACTGGCGAGATATCTGTCTATCTACCAAAGGATGAGTATACTATACTACTGTCTATTCTGTCCTGTTATACGGTTGTGGTCGTTAAAAGTAGAAGAAATTAGGCATTTGCAAGTTGTCTTCGCAGCACTGATCGCGTTTGGTGGGATCGCCATAAGGGTACTAGGCAAGACAGGCAGGTCAATGGATGAGGTTGTGAAGCTTCATCGACTGACATGGCTTGGAAATGTACTGCACATGCTAAGCTACCACCTACCTTGACGTGATATCCTAGGGGTAGGGGGATTAATTTTGAGGAGAGTTCCAAGCTAGTCAGATCAAAACGTGGTGCCAGTCCCTCACTGTTGATTTGAGCCGTGTGCGGAGAGGTAAACTGCATGGCTAAGGTCCCCAAGATGATAGGAATCAGTGGTTGATAACTTTTGGTGACGTGTCTGCAAATCAGTAACAGTGGCACAGATGTATTGACTCCTTGACGTATTCTACAGCTTGAGTATTTGGATTAATCTTTATCTTCAGATTGTTTATTTTTTCGCACACTGTCTACTTTTATATTACTTTTTCTATCCACCTGTTCTTTGTTTCCAACTGTGAAGCATGCTAATTGTAATCGATGCACTTGTGCACGAGCTTCTACGTTCATTTTGTCTGTTCACTTATCACATGTGTTTGCTTGAAAATGGGGTTACGTTACTGAAACAGAATTCATTTTCTGCACTATTGACAATGCATTTCGTATCGTTTTGCAGTCAACATCATTCAAGTACGGAACACACTTTTTGTTGTTCTTGACATTCGTCATGTGCTCACATATGAATCTTCATTTCTGCTAGTGTTAGCGATAGATATCTGTCAAAAGGTGACAGAGTATTACTTTTTAAGTATGTAAAGCATAATCTGGAAATGCTGCAAGTTATTATTTTCATGTCGGCATACTTTTATGCCATTTGATGACAGCTTTTGAAGTTTGAAACCCTATTGCATTTATGTTATATTTTCGTGAAACTTCTCTGTTTTTGCCTTGAATTACAGTTTTTGAAGCGAAAAATCTTGTTCCAATGGATCCAAATGGTTTGGCAGACCCGTATGTAAAAATCAAACTACTGCCAAGTGATGAAGGGAGTAAATCCAAGCTGAAGACAAAAGTCTGTCGATGCACACTGAATCCCGTATGGAATGAAACATTTTATCTGTAAGGTCATTGGTTTATTGCATTCGCTTATTAATTATCTATTCTTTCTCTTGAAAACCAATGTTTTTTTTACCTTCAAACTGGACAGGTTGCAGTTTGTCTAGTAACTGACCGATGGACTAGAATAAGCATTTTTCGATTTAAGAATATTCAAGTCAAACACTAAGACTTAACCATCTATATCAGATATTCATTCATTTACTTAATATTACAGAATGGGATTCCATAGTGTTTTCGATCATTCCTTGAATGTAATCCACGTTCTGCATTTTATAGATTAGTTATTTTATCTATTTTTGAGAGCCATAGGATCGACTGACTGATAAGTTCAACTCCTGAGCTTGTCCACTTGCAGATATTAGTCAGGCATCTTTGTTGTTGACTTATTTTATACGAATTCAGTCCGAAAAAAGTGATTTTTAAGCAGTAGCGCAGATATATTTGCCCCTTATCATTTTCGAAATCTTCATTTCTGTATCCTTCCTTATTTAATACCGCTGTTATATTTTTCTCTCATCCTTCTCTGTTATTATCTTTTCATTGGTGGTATGTCTGTGTAATTTTCAAAATCCTCAAACATTAAACGGCTACTTGTTTTTGGTTCCATCTGTGTGTTGAGTCTGCTGAAGTTGGGTTTCATGTTGCCTGCATTAGTTAGATTTTGTTCATTGTTACTGGTATTGCTACCACTGGTTCCCGTATATACGCATAAAAAATGTTTACTAGTTCCATTGATCCAGTTGTATTATGGATGTATGAACTGGTATGATCTCCTTGATTTGAAGCGGTACTGAGCTGGCCATATGTTTGGAGAGCGAATTTGAGCTTTAGAAAACGTTCATCGCGGACGTCCACTTGATGTTTATCTAGAAAGCTTACGAGTCGTTAAAGTTCGCTGTTTTACACAACCAACCATTGATAAGCAATAATTATAAAACAACTATGTATTTGTGGCTGGAAAAGGGGAAGGAGTTGTTCAAAATTAGTGCTTTTCTCAATATGCATGGAATTTTGTACTGTGAAAAAGTCTTAATTGACAGTAAAAGTTATGGTAATGATCCAGCTGGTATGTTTTACGTCCGAACGTTTTATTTACTACTGAATTTGTTTGCAGTGAGACTGGTTTGGTTTGCTAGAAATGGCTGTACTGAAGAAATCAGATCATAGCCATGCTCTAAGCTGTACCCGCATGACTAGGTCAGCTACCTAGTGATGCTTGCTAAGTGGCGTAGATTATTCCCTATCTGAGGTACAGGGAATTTGTACTACGGTATACTACTAAAGAACATTTCTGTGAGAGTTGGAATTCATGCATTCCTTCGCCGAAATCAGTGCATTCATGTTGCCATTTAGATTTGTCTTAAACATAGTGAGAGTTGGGTGTCCAATGTTGTTTGTTAGTTCGTGTGTCAATCTCACTGATTATGACACAAGATTCTCGCGATCTGCATTCGCAAACTTTTAACGCGTCAATGTAGTTACGAGAATATTCTCACTTTCCTACATGCTTCGCCTAAGCAATCAGTGACTTAGTGAATTGGTTCTATTTTCTGTTCTGGCTACTGTTGGCTTTCTCCTGAAAATTGTTTGTTTTTATTTTCTACTTCAGTTACATTTAAGGTAGTTTCATGAGGTAGTAATCTTTGTGTAGATAAACAGGCAGATTGATCGATATAGAATCGCATACTCAGTCTTCCACTTTACAAAAACGAAATGCAGTACCAGTTTCCTGTTGTTTATTTGACTAAACCGAATTGTCTGGTATCCATCAACCTACAATGCTTTTATGTAGATGCCTTAAAATGATAACGAGTTTTATTTTTCTCTTGTTTGATTGTTCGTGACGAGCAGTGAACATTGGTGCATATATTTCATGTTATTCGTGACTTACCAACTCTTCAATGTTGAGCAGAAAAAAATCGATTAGTCGTTCATGGATGATTACGTGATATCCCATTGTACTTTGGGTACTTGTGTGTGAACGCACAATTAAGGAGAAGGAATCTATCTACAAATTCAAGGCTAACGAAAAATATTCTAGTATGCTTACAGAAATAGCTGTACTCGTCGCACACACCCATCATTATCAATGGGTCAGCCAGTCGATGGTGAAATCGCTTCGCCACCATCGTTTAGGAATTAGCAGTGATATATATCTAGGTTTGGCTATCTCACTTCCATTTTGATAACCAGGACATTTATTTTATTTATTTGTCCCTTGCGTTCCTAATGCAATATAGGGCTTCAGTAGCACGTCTCCAGTGCACTTTATCCCCTGAAATCTTTTGAACCTGGCTCCACGACAGCCCAGAAGCCCTCATTTCCTCCTCGCACGATCTCCTTCATGTCACTCTCAGCTGGGACGCCTAACTCGTCGCTTCCCATCTGGGTTCCACTTGAGGACCTGGGCTGGTGCGTGATGTCCCCAGTCAGCCTTCTCAGTGTATACCCAATTTAGTCCATCTCCACTTCCTTCTGGATATTTGTTGAGCGATAGGTTGTTGGTTGGTCCGTCACCAGGCAGCCAGAGTTCCTTGTTGCTTATTCTCATTATTCTGGTTATCTGATCTTGAGTAAGGAGCGTAGGTGGCAGTTGTTGATGAATGTCTGTAGTTTGTTGGAAATGCCTTTCGTAACGCGCCAAGTCTCTGAACCATACAGAAGCACTGACTTGACTGACGTTGGTGTTGAAAATCCGGATCTCGATCCACATGCTGAGTGCAGAAGACCTGCACACTGGTTTCAGGCTAATGAACGCCTGTCTTGCTTTTCCAATCCTATCTCTGATGTCCTCATCTGTACCGTTGCCTGTAGTTGAAACAGTGCTTCCTAGATAGGTGAAGGAGGTTACTTCCTTTAAGTTTCTCCCGTTGATGGTGATGAGAGCTCGTTGTTGTTGTTGTTGGTGGTGGTGGTGGTGGTGTTGGTTGGTTATCTTCATCACCTCTGTATTCTCTACTTTCGCTTGAAGTCCTGTCTTCGCTGCCCTGCTTCTTCTGCCAACTTGTTAGTTTCCGCCTGTAGATCTTCAAGTTTGTGTGACATTAGACAGAAGTCATTGGCAAAATCTAAATGACTAGGTTATTTTCCGCAGTCCAGCGTATGCCCCTCTTCTCGCTTCTCACTGTTTGTTGTTTGATTCAGTCCACTACAATCAGGAAGATGATGGTTGATAGTAGGCGGCAGCCTTGTCTTACTCCTGTCTTCACTTCAAAGGCGTCATTGAGCTCCCCATTGTGAATTACATGGCATGTGGCGTCTTCACATAGTTGTTGAATGAGGCTGATAAAGGTTTGTGGTATTCCGTAGTGTTGAGAAAACTGCAACATTACTTCTCAGCCGACACTGTCAAAGGCCTTTTCAAAGTCGATAAAATTGAAGTAGAGAGTTGACTGCCATTCTTTATTCTGTTGTGTGATGATACCAAGCGTTGCAATTTGGTCCGCATATGATTTGTTCTTCCTGAAGTCAGCCTGACTGTTCCGGTCGTAGTTTTGAATCCAGCGCATCCTTTAGCCTCTCCAGGATGATGCGGCTTAATATTTTGCTTGCTTTGGGTGGACAGGAGAGTGATTCCACTCTTGTTTTTGCTAAGACTTAGGTCGCCCTTCCTCGGCAGTTTGACAAGGTAACCCTTCTTCCAATCAATTGCCAGGTACCTTTCCCTCCTTCCCGACCTTCTGCAATAGTGGTGTGAGCATGTCTGCTGTTGTCTGTGAGTCTGTTGTCAGTGCTTCTGGTGAGATTCTATCCGGTCCTGCTGCTTTCCCGCATTTCAGTAGGTTTATTGTGCTCAGGACTTCGACTTTCGTTGGGGGACTTGTGTTCACTTGTAGTTCTGCGGCTGCAGGTGGTGGTGGATTCAAGAGCTTTTTGAAGTGGTCATCCCATCGTTTCCTTTGTTTCTCCTCTCTGATCGTAACTGAGTTTTCTTCACGATCTTGCATTGGCTTCATCCCCGTTGATCTCTCCCTTCGCAGATAGAAACCTGGTTATTTGATACAATGTTGTCAGGTCTCTGTGTCTCCTACCTGAAGCCTGTTCTACTTCACTTGCCTGTGTTTCGTAGAAGTGTCTTTTGTCTTTGCGCGCACTCTTCTTCACTTCTTTGTCCAGTGTTTTATACATTGTACTCAGTTCCTCTTGTCGTTGAGCATCCTTGCACTGGTTTATCTTCTGCTTCACCATCCTCCTCTCCCTGCTCTATCAACTTCCATGTATCCATTGAGATCCATTCCCCAATTTCTTTCTTCTCCCTTCGTAATACGGCTGTGCAGGTTTCTTTCCACATCTCTTTCAAAGGCTTCCAGTGTTCTTCCACACAGGTTTCTTCAGGGATGTTCCTCGATATCTCGCATTTTGTGTTGATGGCTGACTGGCGTGAAGATTTCCTTTGTAGTTTCTTCCTTCAGTTTCCGAGTGTTGTACTTGAACTGTGGTCTGTCACCAGCTTCCTTGAAGGCTTTTAACTTGATTAAGAAGGTAGGTTCCTTGCAGTGGATAGATAGTGAGTGGTGTGAACCTACATGTGCTCCTCTTCTTGACCTTGTGTCAAGTAGACTGCGTCTCCATTTTCTTGAGATTGAGATAAAGTCGATCTGGTTTTTAGTGTGTCCATCTGGTGTCTGGTGAAATCCATGTCACTGCTTTGTGGATATCCTTGTGCTTGAACACACTGCCTCACCTCCAATCACCAAATCGTTGAGTGCACAGAATTCTGTAAAGAATTCTCCATTCTCGTTCATCACCTCACTGAGCGCTTCTCGACCCATGGTTAGTTCTCTTCCTGTGTTGTCTGCTCCCAGTTTGGCATTCATGTCGCCCATTAGAATTTTGATGTGGCCAACTGAGGTCTTGTCCAGTGTTGATTGCAGTTGTCTATAGAATTCCTCCTTTTTCCCTTCATCTGCATTATTTGTAGGTGCATAGCATTGTATGATTGTGACCTTTCTTCCTTTTGAGTTGAACCTTGCAGTTATGATCCTGGAGTAGATTGGTTCCCAGTGCATGAGAGCCTTCGATTTTGTTGGGGACATCATGATAGTCACTCCCTCAGTGTTCTGGTGATTGTCATCTGGGTGACCGGAGTAGATTATTGATTGTCGAGTTGACAGTTTGGAGAGTCCACTTCCATTCCATCTGCTTACACCTCGCGAATTCCAAGCACTTCAGTGTGATACCTCTTCATCTCGTTTGCAATCTGGGTTGCTTTGCTGGGTTCAAACATTGTGCGGACATTCGATGTCCCCACGTTTACTTTCGCTTTCATCGAGGGAGAGAATACACATTGGCCAATTGGCTTCCCGAAGGGTTTCACCAACCGGCGTCATTTCGTCTCTCCAATTCCAGCGAGGAATAATTTTGTTATTATTTTTTATATTTTGTTTGTGCTTTGAAGTTTGTTTAGCGGTTAGATTTGTTTTGCGGGGTAGAGTTGCTAGGCGTATGCCCAACCTTCCTTGTTTACCCGGGCTTAGGACGGGCTAGTAACTAGTGAACTAGTTTACTAGGCGAGGTTTGGTAAACAGGTTGGTGTGAAAATATATCACTCTTTCCTTATCGTCTCTCTTACTTTCACACAATAGGCAGCGCTAATTGGCTTGCTTGTCCCCATTTCAATCTCACTATTGATGGATACTGCCTTAAAAAAAATATTTGATCAGATTGTTTGAAATGTAACACGTAATCACATCACATTTTCCAGATATGATGCGTATCCTCAGTAAACCATTCGTGTTCCTCAAAGATACCATTTTTACATCTGAGTCACAGTTATGGATTAATATGTTATACGTAGAAGCAGCATGCAGATACTTCTTCTTACCTCCAACTTATGCAATATCTTCCGGATGCTTTTATTGTGATCTTACAGAACAATCTCTCATAACTAAACTCAACGCAAATGAAAGTGAAAATGATCAGTGGATGATTGAAGATATTCGGGGTTACCGAACAAATGTTGAGCATCACAACTAATGTACTTGTATTTACTGATATCTTTATTCACTTCTCTTGAATAAATGCCCCGTTTACTATAAGCAAATATTGTGCGTTCAGTATCATGGCCAACCGAATTAACACGACCATGATTTCTTGTCAGAATAAAGCTTAAAGCTGAGATAAACTACGCACTGTATCAGCAGACCATATTTTCTTATTTGTCGAACAATAGCTCCAAATCCATGTATTCTCACTTAACTCCACCATCATTGTGGAGAAGGGAGATAATAAATGATTAAATTGGAAAGAAGATAGAAGCAATAGTATTTCTGTTTTACTGGATGTATCAGTTTTACCATTCTAATGTTGGCTTGTTTTCTCGTGCATGCGTATGTTTGTGTTCAAGTTGTTTATTCCTCCTTCAGGTGAGATTATTAAAAACACATCAGTGTTCTATACAACGAGGTCATGATTAAAGAAGAAAAGAAGGAGTTGAGTGGCGGTGATAACCAGGAATGACAAACAGGTTTCGATAAAGGAAAAAAAAATAGCAGGAAAATAGTTTGATCAAAACTCTCTTCACAAGTGAATCACTGCCATTTTTCATTTATAATGCAACCTAACATGCATTTGATTAAAAATGCATTGAATACGCAGACTCCTTCGTCACTTCTATGGTTGTTTAGCAGTTCAGTATTCACAACGGTTAGGTGAGAATAGTCATGGCGAGTTTGAATGGTTTTAAACAGGAGAGAAATGGTCTTCGTTTGTCATTATAGTAAAAATATCACTTCATATTTGCAACGAACAATGCCAACGCCTTGATAAGGATACTACAGTCACTTACGTTAGGGATTTGTATGCATTATGAAGTGTTAAATTCCATTCGAATGCAGCTAATGGGGTGCAGTTGTTTTGTCTGTACAGATGGAAGATGAATATTGAACACAAACTTACATGTGTAATCAGTTACTTGAATGCTCCATTCGATAATGTGTAATTTTCCACACTAGAATTTTTTCGAGTAGGGGAATCTTACTAGTCTCATTCTCATATTGCTGTACATGCGCACTTTTCCGAACTTATAAAATCGCTTCATCCTCCAACTACCTACAAATACCTGTATTGCAGCTGAACAGCGTTGAATATGGCATCTGAAGATTTTGACTTCAGCATCTTGATAGTTCAACGCTATTGTAAGCATCATCTTATCGCAGTTGGAATGGTTTGAAGTATTTCATGTCATTGTAAACCGATGTTGGATCATGTACATGGAATGAACCTGAGTTTCGATTCGACGACTTGAACTGGAGAAACTTGATTGGAATTTCAAGCTTCGTAAGTCATTTTATGCGAAAAACAAACTGATAGGTCCTACTGAACTCTCAGTATTTGATTGGACTGGATAAAGGTGGTGACTGACTTCAGAGTGTATTATCACAAGTGACTAATTCTCATGGATTGGAGAGAAGAAAGATTAGCAGTAGAAATTAAGATATTGAAATGACGTAGAATAAAAGTGAAGGTCACGCGGAATGTGAGTGAACTGATAATGAGAGGACCTTCCAGTTTTGCTTTGCGAAATAAGTGGATTTGTCTGTGTTACTGACATCGACTTGGAGCCACTTTTCTTTTTGTCTTGTATCTCTTTTTGGTCCCACCTGGCAATATCCACTTAGGTGTACAATACAGATTTCTACACAATTGCAACGAATAGGCAGCTAGGGATTTCATGAACTGTCGTCATAGTGTTATTTATTTTAGAAATCCTGCTGTTTCTTCACGACCTTGCTAACATAGTATTTTTACGATAAGTTATAGTTGTACGTGTGAAGTAAATTTCGTTTGGCATCATTATATAGTTTTGTTGGCTGTAATATGTGTGTACATGAGTGAATAGTTGTGTGGAACTATGTAGGTGGATTGATGTCTACTATTGTTTTTCATTCATTGATTGTTTACCTTCAGCGGAATATCAAACGAAGATCACTGCAAACGCCTTTCGATCGAGGTATGGGATTGGGATCGCACGTCAAGGAATGATTTCATGGGTTCATTTTCATTCGGTGTTAGTGAGATAATTAAGGAACCCGTATCATCATGGTATAAATTACTGAATCAAGAGGAAGGAGAATTCTATTCTTTACCGTGCATCGATGAAGCTGGTACAGCTGTACTGGAATTACGTAAGCGTATGGAGGTGAGTTGTCAGTGTTAATATGTTTTCAGTTATACTTGTGCTTATTTGTTATCGTGAGTGGAGTAGATTTAGCCTAATTAACAAATGTCTTCAAGTGTCGATTTGGAAGTATGTTTGTTTGTATGCATCACGATAAAATATTAGCGAATGATGCTTGTAACGAAACACTCCAGTTAGTGCACGTGATATCCGTTAACGTGGACTGAATTATATCCGTTTTGATAGTAATCATGACAGAAAGGCTGATGGGAAGCTATTTAGCATGCATTTTAATGCGCTTATCAATAAAATTTAATCAATCATATATGAGCAGTCTCCTATGTAGAAGTAGATACAAACGGATGCTGGTTATCCATACCATTGGTAAGTGAGTATTTTTGTATCTTGAAATGATGGAGAATATTTGTAGCTCAGGTGGATGGTGTTGGTTGTATTGTGTTCTCTGAGCTGGGTTGTTTAATCGTGAAGCTTTCATCGCCTTGCTAGGCGACATCATCAGCACTAACTTCAGTATGAAGTGAGCTGTCAATATCTCTCTGTGAGTGATTTAGTAGCTTGCTCTGACGATTTGGTCTGTGATTGATTGTTTCCTTTGATTGTTGTGTCATTGATTGCATAGACTTTCCTGTTGGCTGTTCCTCTGCTTCACCTCTGACCTTTCTGTCGTTTATCATTTTTCTTATTGGTTGATAGATCGGGTCTATGTCTATACATCCATTGATTGCTGACTGACTGACCCGAATGCCAAGCTTCTAGAAATTCTCTGATACTCTTTCCTCTGTCCAAAATTTCTACATTGTCAAAATTGAATTCATGTCCATAATTAACCACGTGCATTGAAATGAGTGATGAAATGTCGTGGCGTTTAATAGCCAATTGGTGCTCATGTAGACGAAGGCGAAGAGGGCGGCCGCTTTGTCCAATGTAGTGCTGACCACAGTTATTGCAGTTGATTTTGTAAATGATATTCGGTTTGTCTTCTTTGCTTGTTGCATCCTTTGGTCTGCATAATAGTGTTTGGAGGGAATTTGTTGGTTTATGAGCCACACCAATTCCAAGTGGTCTCAGCAATCTTGTGATTTCTGATATATTCTTTATGTATCTTTATGTGTCACAACAAGATTGCTGAGACCACTTGGAATTGGTGTGGCTCATAAACCAACAAATTCCCTCCAAACACTATTATGCAGACCAAAGGATGCAACAAGCAAAGAAGACAAACCGAATATCATTTACAAAATCAACTGCAATAACTGTGGTCAGCACTACATTGGACGAAGCGGCCGCCCTCTTCGCCTTCGTCTACATGAGCACCAATTGGCTATTAAACGCCACGACATTTCATCACTCATTTCAATGCACGTGGTTAATTATGGACATGAATTCAATTTTGACAATGTAGAAATTTTGGACAGAGGAAAGAGTATCAGAGAATTTCTAGAAGCTTGGCATTCAGGTCAGTCAGTCTGTATGTATCCTCTTAGATATTCATTCATAACCTTGTAATTTGGGCTGGATGACTTGACATGAAACTATTATGATACAAAAACCTCTATATGGAAGGCATAGTGTTGTCAGTAAAGTGCTAGATGGTTATCTTTGTTGGCCTTTGAGGAATGGATAAAATAAGTTGTGTTATCTTGCTTCTCCTGATTTTCGATTTCAATGACGCGTGATTTCACAGTTCATTGAGAACTTTATCTTTCGTTTAGGCTGCCAATGGTATGCATATATTAATAACCGATCAATAGTTGTAGTAGCGATTTTAAGCGTTGTTTCGACTGTGTTAATTAAGATAACTAAGCTTGGGCAGTTGTCATACTTAGTTCATCCGGTCGCTGGTTTCGTTTCGTTAATTTTTCGCTTGCGCATCCGTGATTAATATGGTACGAAGGCGAAATCGATTTAATCGAAACATGGATGTGTATTTTATGAATGAGTAGAAGGGAAAGTTATTTGATGTAATGATTTGAGATATAACTGCTCTAAGTAGATTAATGAAGTTCGATTTTGTATCGCTTGACCTCTACAGTCAACATAAAATTCAGGCATAAATATTTATTTATCACGTAATTGGTTGTCATCCATGTGTTATGACCTCGATAGAACAACCTACTGAGGCAGTTGTTATTAATTGGCTTAAACAAATCTAGATATTATTTACCCTAGTGTTAACTGCTACCTGGCCTTCTTCCTTACAGATGAGTAGGGAGACATACAATATGGGGCGTGATACTATTGTCTATCGGTTCAAGTTGCAGCTGAGTGGGGAAAAAATAACCAGTATCTGGCGGTAACGAGTTAACGGTAAATGAATGGTACACAATCCACACTTCTTGATCCAGATTGAATAGTGGTTATTTTGAGTGTGTCATCGAGTTAGTGTGTAAGTGAGATTGGTTCAGCCTTACAGTGATGCATTTGTTGATGATTGTTAGGGGAGATTCAGTATTTCAGGAAATGCACGAGGCAAGTTCATATCGTCAGAACTCAGCCAACGCTACATCTAACCTTGTTCTGTCGTGTAAATAGAGCATTATGCCTTTCAATTTGGTCATTCAGAAGGTCAATTGCAGCAGTTAACTGTGTGGTTGTTGATCCATACATGATGCATTAGTTGAGCTTCAAGTGAGAAATAAAATCTGATTACTGACTGGAATCTTGTTGATATGTAGGTTCTAGTGTAACCTCAAAGGTTTTCTTACCTCATCGTCATCAGAATATACGAACAGATTCTATTCTAAATAGTAGTTATGCTGAATAAGAGGCTGTCTTCACTTGAGTATGATGATAATGATGATGGTCTTCATTGCAGGGTATACTTATTATAGACTGTAGATTGTTATGATAATCAGATAATCGGTTGATGATTCTCTATATGATCGTTGTTCATATGTATATATAACAGGTTAGATGAGATTATTCACTGATTCTGCGTGTGTTGTTGTTGAGGATGTCTGTATTCAGGATTAACAGTGAATCGACTGGTTCAGTGCTTATTTTGATATTATTAAGTCTGGAATTTAACATATATACAGAAAGGAGGTTGGTAAAGGCTAATAAATGGTTGAGTATTGAACGATGAAAAATCTTCATAAGCAATGGTTTATAATTTTTACTTGTATCAATCTGTGTATATGAAACAGACATTCCCAGTAGTTGACATGGAAGTCTGATCTGAGCTTCTTCGGGAAAATAATCAAAATCTTCATTATCATAGATATGTACAACAGGTTAACTTCCTACAGTTCATCTCCTTGGCCAATTGTGTTTGGATTATTATTGCTTTTCAATATGATTATTAGCCTTACATTATACATTGATATTTACGATGCATGAATAATTGTCGACGGGTGTTTGCGTTGTATTTGAGACATGAGCTATTACAAGATAAATGAAGTCATAGGTGCCATATTTCTCAGTGCATAATGAGTATTTACCTTTCTGTACATATATGGCACAAAAAAGTGAAAACATGTTTATCATTTTGCTAATGGGTGAAAGCAGAATGAACTGATCTGACTGGCTTTGTGGTAGGTACTAGTGGAACCCAGGACGCGAGTTTTGTCCTGCTTGAGATTTGTCAGCTGCATATACCTGCATCCTAGTAATTGATGGTATTCCCACTGAGACTCCAACCCAGCACCCATCGCTTCAAATACCAAAGAGGGGTTGTCTAGGCATAGTGGCATGATGGCCACAACTTGTTGAATGGGTAGAAATAGTGATGCTATTTATCAATGATCAGAATGAATCGTTACTGATAAAAGTCATATTTTCCCTTTGTTGTCTGAATGCAGCAGAATAAACAGTAATAGTAACCAAAAACATTTATACAAATCATATGACGTCGTCCGCTGCAGATGATATTGTTGTCATCGTTGATGATGATGACGATGAAGAGGATGATGATGATGATGATACAATTAGTTCGAATATCAATCGAAAACAAATCAAACCATACTACTAGGTTTTTTTCGGCTTTCTTCAGATCTGTTTAGTAATCATTATTTACTAGATTGCTCCCAATCACACTGCGCCTCGTCTTTCCAAATTGTTGTAGGGCCTCATGAGTCAGTCTTTCTTTAAATGACACAAAACATCTTTTTAGGATTTTAGTTCCATTTGAATTAACCTTGTGTCTCGTTCAGCAGTGAAATTGCTGATCAGTTCTCCATTCTTTGGTTGTCTGATGAGGTTTTTGGAATTCGCGTTAGGCATTATTTATGCTGTATTGATCCCTCACATCCACCTATGAAATATGATAAGAATTTAGCTCTCTACCGACATGTTTGAATTTATTTTGTTCTGAATCTCTTTCGTTGGTCTTGGCTGTATAGATTATCTAGGTAGGTTTTGTGATTGATGTTTGTAAGGCTAACGATATCGATAGTTGTAGAATTTAGTCTGTTGAGTTCAAAATTGGTCGTTGTTACTTAGATACGCCTTTGCAACATCTTGAAAATCTTAAGTTTACCACCATAAATTTATTTTGCCTATTCTTTTTATCTTAAGGCTTTTCTAGTACTCTTGATGTCACTTTCTTTATTTTGCAATCTTTTACTGGTTGATATGTCTCTTGACATTTTGAAGCAAATGGTGACGAGATGAATAGATGAACGATTCTGTCCAATACCTTTCACTCATATCTGATTGTTTTTCAGAATTCAGAGTAATCATCTTGAATGACAGCATCTACTAACCATCATGCATTAGACGTTTATGAATTCGCCATCAGCTTTTCAAAGGTATCCTTGTTTACACTACTGATTTCACTTCTCAATTTTTTCTGATAATACCAGTTGTTTATGCCTTTATTGATTTATTCCCCTGATTTCATTCTGTTTTGTGGTGTTTATAGTTCTGCAATTGAAGTAAAGAATTTTATGTTCAAGGAATGATGCGATAAATACAGAATATTATTTAGTGACTAGTCTTATACCTAGTCAGTTGGTTTGTGTTGTGTATATCTTCACCGTTGATTGCTGTAAATATCTGAGCAACTGGTGATATGTTCGTTGTCCATAGATGCAGAGTATATGTACTTTTCAAGTAGGTGGTACTTAATTACGTATAAATGTGTGTGTGTGTGTGTATGTATGAGTGACTATTTAAGTCTAAGCAAATTGAAAACCGAAAATGATAAGAACAGCGAGAAATCAAGTTATAATCAAAGAAGTTAGTTTCACCTACGACAGATGGCTTTGTCATTGAAATAAATAAAAGCAATATAAGTATGAAAGTCGGATTGGCAATTCCAGAAACTTTTAGGGGTGATAAGCAGTGTCTAAATAGTTCCTCGAAAACAAAGGGTTGGCGTTTGAAACCTTGATTCTTTCAAGTTAAGTGACTTTTTTGTATATATGTATGTGCTCATGTATTGACACTTTTAATCACAGAGCTTGTTTACTCTAGTTCTAATAATGAATGTTTCCATTGCCGATGTATAAGAGGGAATCGTTGGATAGATGGTAATGAGAAATCCCAATTTCTTCGTGATGTAAGCATTTTTACTTTTCCCGAGGGCCTTTTCTACTAGAAGAACGTCCTACTGAGTTTGCTTACAATCATTGTGGTTTTTGTAATATTCGAGGTGTCGATGTTTTATTCATGTGGAGTGTGGATACTGTTCATCCGTTAAGGGTTTTTAACTAGGATAAGACTGTTTTAAAGTAACATTTGAAAGCCCTCTGTCCATTGAGTCATTATTCTGAAGTTCATTCGAGATTCTATAACTTGTCAGCTTGAAGTATGCAAGAAATTCAGACGAAACATACTAGAATCTCCTGAGGATGACTTTATGCGATGGATTCCAAGAATTGTTTGTATACTTTCCTTACAAGACCAGAACAGTTTTCCTGACTGTTTCCTGTAAGGTTTCTACTGAGGCATTCATGTTTGAAGATGAGATTTCGTGAAGTTTGGGTTAGAGGTGGCACAGTAATGCAAAGATGTAGGATGAATTTATAAAGTTTGCAGAAATTATGCTATGTTACGTTGAAGCGTTGGTCGGTTTCTTATCTGGACAATAGTTTATTAATCATCAGTAGAGCATGAAAGGCCGTACATGAAATGTTGGACGGTTTATTTTTACCCAAGTAACATAAAGATACGCATGTGTGAAAGAGAACTGAGTAGATTGTGTTACACTAAAAAGGCAGTCAAGAGTGTTAAGTAAGGCGGAAATAGAAATGAAAAACGTATCTGAATTGAAAACTGAAAGTGAAATGATTTACTTTAATAGCAGATTTTGATTGGTCTTACTTTAGTATTTCGCAGTCTTCAACCTGCCTGATTGAATTCACTACCACTGGTGAAAAAGAACCATCCTGAATGTCTTTCAAAGTCTGTTGTCGAGGCGAAATATCGCTGGGTAGTACTAATGATTGCATTTTCATATTCACTTTCCGGAGTCTTTCTTAATGTATTCCTATGTTTCTTTCACTCAAAGTTAAGATATTTGTATTAAACTTTTATTGAAATACTGTAGTTATGCTTCATGTATTATTATTTATTTGTCCCTTGCGTTCCTAATGCAATATAGGGCTTCAGTAGCACGTCTCCAGTGCACTTTATCCCCTGAAATCTTTTGAACCTGGCTCCACGACAGCCCAGAAGCCCTCATTTCCTCCTCGCACGATCTCCTTCATGTCACTCTCAGCTGGGACGCCCAACTCGTCGCCTCCCATCTGGGTTCCACTTGAGGACCTGGGCTGGTGCGTGATGTCCCCAGTCGGCCTTCTCAGTGTATACCCAATTCAGTCCATCTCCACTTCCTTCTGGATATTTGTTGAGCGATAGGTTGTTGGTTGTTTCGTCACCAGGCAGCCAGAGTTCCTTGTTGCTTATTCTCATTATTCTGGTTATCTGATCTTGAGTAAGGAGCGTAGGTGGCAGTTGTTGATGAATGTCTGTAGTTTGTTGGAAATGCCTTTCCTTAAACACTACTTACTCCCAAATATGTTACCATAGAGACTGTTTTGCGGAAAAATCCCAGTTTCTACCAACATTTGATTTTTGAGCGACTGGTTTATGTTGTGACACGGTGTATGAGTCTGTGTCCCAGCTTGATTCGTGTAGTAACAGAAGTGTATCATACTGATTTCATCGAGCTGGGAATAAACGCACTTTTTTAAAACCTCTTCTAACTACAAAAATATAATCGGTAGATTTGAAATGTTGACAGAAAGTGGTGAATTTGGTCCTGAAAGTTTCAAAGGGGAACAACAAAAATCTCTACAAGTTTGACTTGAAGAACTGTCACTTGGTGACAGATTGTAAGTTCTTATAGCAGTTGAATGCTGTTTATGTATTATTAGACAAGTGTTTCATCCAGTAATGCTACCTTTTTTCGAGTCTAGCACTATATCACAGTGTTTTGTCGTGGAAATTCAAGATTAAAATTTTTTACAACATCTATCTTATGGAATGTAGTAACTTTGAGCTTCGTTACCACGTACATTAGTAAACGTCCTACTTGAAGAGATATTCGAAGCAATAATCAGCTTTCCGACATTTTTGGGAAGTTGTTCCCCTTCTCAGACATCGCTAAATACGTGTTTAAAATCATTACTATGCTTGCCTTTGCTTTGCTTTTTTACGTGTATGACAATACCTTAGTGGACATCCAGAAATGATGAGAATTTCAATCCTTTGCCTTCTGAGACGTAATAATTTTAGTTTGTTTTTCTATCGGAATCGGTTGTAGGGATTGCCCATACCAACAACTGGAGTTGTTTATAAGTTTCATTTGTTGGTCATTCAAGCTGGAGAGTCACTTTACTGGATTTGACAGAGAACTGCTTTACGGGAAGAGTAAACTTAGCCATACCATTCATTTATAAGACGTGTATGAGATAGGTAGTTAACCTAGAGTCTTCTCATTCTCCAAAAATATCATCTCAATACTTATGGCATTTTCTACTAAATATTATTGTAAATACCAAGACTATGTACAATGAATGTACTTCATATGTATGCGCGTTACTTTGTCAAGTTCATATATGCTTTGGTTGTTCTTTTTTTGTTAAATTATGAAATACGTAAATTCAGTTGAAAGTATTAACTAATTTGTTCGAATATATTGTTCGTAAATTAACAATTAACTAATTTATTTTTGAGATACATGGGGATTTTTAATTTAGAAGTAGTATTCATCATGGACTGACATCAATTGGGGAATCATTGAAAATCTGGCAGCACTGGACAGCTGTTTCGTCCTAGTATGGGACTCCTCAGCAGCACGTACCCACGACCCGGCTAGGGGTCGAACTCAGGAACCTCAGGTTTCACGGTGAACGCGTTAACCATTCAGCCACTGGGTCGGTTTCCAGTGGTTCACAATTTCCAACTTCTGTCAATTCACGACATAGCACGACTGTCACCCAAGGTCTTCAGTTAGCATCCACTTCACTTCCGACTGGTCGACTCTACAGGCCACGGCTTCTCATTAGAACTTCCTGACATCCATCTGGAACCACTGGAAACCGACCCAGTGGCTGAATGGTTAACGCGTTCGCCGTGAAACCTGAAGGTCCTGAGTTCGACCCCTAGCCGGGTCGTGGGTGCGTACTGCTGAGGAGTCCCATACTAGGGCGAAACAGCTGTCCAGTGCTCCCAGATTTTCAGTGGTTCCCCAACTGATGTCAGTCCATGATGAATACTACTTCTAAATTAACTAATTGTTTCATAAATTTATTCGATTAAACCTTGTTGTACATCTGCTTTTAATTGAGATTCTTGAAGCGATAATTAACGTTTTCTTAATGTATATTAAAAGTAAAAGAGCGTTAAATTTAGATTGTGTTTTGTGCATTATGTGCCTAATAACTTTAAAGAAATTTTATTTCACACTCGTACAGTATCCGTGATCACCTATATTAATTTCCCGTAGTTTGGTTAGCTGAAACCCTACGAAGTTATCATCGAAACATATAATGATGCTGTATCTTTGTGTGGCCTTTCATGTAAACTAATCTAATATGAAGGTATGAGTCAACGTTTATCCTTAAATTTTTTTCATAATGGTTTGGATTTTAGTGTAATTGTTTGTTTGCTTTCATTACAAATTAAATTAATGACACTGTTCAATTTTTTCCTTATCACCTTCAGCGTATGTCTACAGAACACTTAAATCTAACTAATAATCAAAGCAGAGTTACACATTCATCCATCACATCACAGCACAAACCGGATATCCCTCGACCAAGCGACTTCAATTTTCTTGTTGTCTTGGGAAAAGGCAGTTTTGGAAAGGTAATTTAATCCTATCATTTCAAATTGAGCTCTGTTAGTTATTACGTTATATTTGACATCCCAGATGTTAACGACCATTGAATGTTAGTCATTCTCGAGTGTCGCTTCTATAGTGGTTACATTCAATTAAACTGTTTCAGTTTGATGAATTTTATTCAGATAAGTTTTTAGTCAGTAAGAAAGTTTTCAGAGAAATTTCAAAATTCTGCTTTGTTTGTCGCATGACTATGATTTTATGATGGCTACCAACAGATCCATGATTTATTGTTCTGGAAACTTACCACAAACAAAGCCATTCATATGAATGAGTTTCAGGTATGTGAAATCCTGCTTCTTGTATGTTGGGGAAACAATGTGAATTTCAAATATATAGCTTCACTCAGTTGGTGCAAATAATTCAAGAATCAAATACAGTTCCACCTACGCCTTTGATTACTAATCTTCGACTCTTGCCTATTCACTGCTACTTCAGCAGTTCTTGACTTAAGTGAGATATCTTGGTAGATTACTATTACTAAAACGGATAATGCTTTAATCGTTTCTGGTGCATGAAAGTCCGCCAAGAACTCGTCGAGGTCAGTTCAAAAAAGTTATTCAGCCTACATTCCTGAAACTAAACATTGAACAACCTCTTATCGGTACTACCGGTAACGGAATTGGTACAAACTCATGAAGAGTAGTTTAACATCGTTTCGCACTACCTAGAGGCGAGAAAAAAACTTAAATCAGAAAATTCTGTGATTACCAGGATGTGATCTCTAGCTATAAAATGTGCTTGTGGTGTTATTCAGTAAGCAATACTGTTTTTCTGTGTGATATATGGAGTGAAAAAAAATCAAAAGAAGCTGAATTTTCTTATCCAGTTTTCGTTTCATTTAATGAAGGATCACTTATCTTTTTAATAGTGTCACATTATTTGATGTATAGTACAGCGGTTTTCACATAATTGCGGAGGTCGATGAAAATGTAAGATCGCCATGCTTCGCTAGACCGTTACGACCTAAATATTTGTTTCCTGACTTATGATTTTTCGTGTAACTGGGAAAGCGACATCTTACTCTTTGATTTGAGTTGGCTTCGCTCTCATGCAAACAACAATAAAGTCATGTTCTTGTGAGGTACTGACGTTCCTGTAACTTCAGTAGCCAAAACACAATCTAAGAGCTTCAGATTGTGTTAGTTGACAGTTAAGATGATTGAGGTATATAAGTTATATACTAAAAAGATATGAAATTGCATCCTGCAGACCAAGTGTCGTACAGTCTTCTTTTAGTTTATTATCACCATTAACTTACACCGACAACTCTTGGCACTGACTTTTTGAGAGAAGTGAGTGTTGCGACTAACGCCGATATGGGACGGTGACTATAAAGTGCGAGTCCTCCCACATAATTGAAAATAGTGACATAGCACAAGTAGGGGTAGTGAAAACGCCTCTGATAGACTCATCTAATATGACAGAGTTGGTTCGGAGGCACGTGAGCTTCAATGGAGTTACAGAGATTGTTTATTCGGAAGCTACAATCTGTAATAACGAAAACATTCAAACTTACAATAGAGTCATATTTCCAAACATTCTGATATTCAGTTTGTCGGTGTGCAGCGTTTTCACTCTCTGTATTTGTTGTGTTTTCCGATGATTCACTTTGTACTACTGATGTGCATTCAAAAGTTAAGTCGAAAAGTACAAGCCACTGGATTTTTATTTAGCCTTTGAGTTTGTTCGAGTGTATGGTCAAGGACTTGCGTTTTGGATACCTTCGAATTAGAATGAAACTGTCTTCTAGTGCGCTTCAATTTCTTTATTTCATACAACTGATATCTTTCCGTGATGCAAAACATTTTCAGTATATGTATTATTATCATCACATTAGATGCATGCTTGTTTTATTTTTTCTAGGTTGTTCTTGCTGAACAAAAGCATATGGATGAATTATTTGCTGTGAAAATCTTGAAAAAAGATGTAATTTTGCAGGATGATGATGTAGAATGTGCTATGACTGAGCGTAGAGTGCTTGCTCTGCCGAATAAATCTCCTTTTCTTGTTCGACTGCATTCATGTTTCCAGTCTATGGTGAGTTTTGTTGATTTTTAGAAAGTTTTGAATTAATACATGTGTAGCTAATTTTCTTTAAATTATCGGATCCTCATTTATCCTGTGTTACGACGACTCCTCATAAGGGTGACCAACATTCATTTCTCACGTTTACCAGCTATAATTTACATAGTATATTTTACTGGGAATACAAATTATTCATAGATAAGATCATTTTAATTCTTGAATGTTTTTTTAACTTCAGTTCAGTTCGATGAGTAAATTGTTAGACGAATTCAATGTAACCTATGTTTTAGCTGCATAGACGCACTGAAAACTTCTTAACTGAGTAAGAAATAAAGTAGGGTTATTGGAGGGGCATATAAATTTCAGTATATACTCAGTACCTAACAGACTTGTATGCACGATATGGTTGTTATAGAAGTGAATTTCCCTCTTGTTTTTATCCATTCACTTATCTGTGAATGTTTATCATAGCAAGTTCATTAAATAATCCCCCTTGTTAAGCAGCCCTAGAAATAATCGTCTTCTTGATTTTGACAGTTTCCGTAGTCAGCGTTATCTGACCGCGTTTTCCCTAGTGCTTTTTAGTAATTGAAACACTACATGAAGTCTAGGCATACAGCTAAAATTACTTATAGCCACCACTACTATTGATATACTGGTAATCGCTGATGTATTTGTGAGCACAGAAGAGATGAAGAAACCACGAAAGGTTTATTACTAGTTTAGCTATGAACGAGAATACGACTTTTCTAGAAAGATATTTTCTTTTGCTGTTTAAAAGATAAAAATATCGAAGAGGGGGTTCTGAATGTTTTCCGGACTTCTTTGGTGGATTTGGATAGTAACACTCAAGCGCCATAACAATCATCATAATTTAAGTTTCTGTAGTCAGATATATGAATCCCAAACTATAATGTAAAAGCTAGTGACGCTACCAAGCAGAGTAAATTCAGTAGATGAGATAGAGTTTGAACTGTTAACTGACTACTTGAAAGTCTAATATTTCAACACATGAATCAGCTTCTCATATCATAGCTAATTAGGAACAATTGAATTTCGAAACACTGAGATTTTAAAATATAATGTAAGAGTTTACTCATGCAAATCGTTTTAACTGTATCAATAAGGATCATATTTCGCAGTTGTTGCAGTCATCTTTGTTAAAAAGTGTCATTGCTGACAGGAAAGGTAAACACCCTATTGTCCGGTATTCCCAATGATACAAAACATTATCCACTTATATGTTACGCGTAGGGCAATCTTTTGATCAGGATAGATAATTTCCTCAAAGAAGTGGGCTTAGATTACATCAATCTTCTGGTCGATCAGTAAAAGAAAACAGGTTTCCTTGCTGAAGACTTTCGTATTAGGAGAACGTTGGTTTTCAATGAATTTGAAACATTTTGAAACACCCAGCGGTTCCCTCCAAGAAAGAAAGCACTTAACACTTTAAAGTAAGAATATCCGTGTAGCTTTGTGTCCTGCATATCAAAATGAAAATTAGTTGTACTTAGGATAATTTTATTGTATTCATCTTCTGGCTACAAGAATCAAGAAAATTGTAAACCTCCAGGTAACTTACGTGAATAGTAAATTCCTCAGCTTTCTGTGGTCATAGAAGGTCTGTTTGACTATCTTTTTCTTGCGATCTTTATCACTCTCCCATTATTTCTTCTTATAGGATCGACTGTACCTTGTGATGGAATATGTAAATGGCGGAGATCTTATGCACCGTATTCAACAAGAGGGAAAATTTAAAGAACCTGTTGCTGTGTATGTCAGAGCTCTTAAATGCTTTCATTATGGTGATGATCACATTCAGTTTTAAAATTATTTATGCTCATATGACCTTCATACACTAACAATTAAAAACGTAACGTTTTTGAGCAACATTGTTTAGTCTTTATGATAATAAGAAAGAACGGTAAACCATAATTTGCTGCTCATTCATTCTATAGACGGTGAATGGACTTACTAAATATCACTTCACTAAACACCATTTTGTTTTGAATTTTAGTTATCGAAGTCACTATAGTTCAAAATCCCTGTAGCATCACTCGTTGAGTTTTTACTGGTCCATTTCGTACATTTTTCACTGCTTCATTGTAATTTACCAACGATTCAAACTTCCTGCCTTTCTATGAACCTTAAATAATGATAAAAATATTGTTAAAGTATTCTTATTGTGTAGGAAGCGTACTCGATGTGTCGCCAATTTAACCAAAACATGTTAATCAGTGGATAAAGTAGATGTTGAGTAGAACACCAAGTTTTATGGATTATGAATATCATTTAAGTTTTGGAAAAGATGATTTGTGGTGCTGAAGTGTTTTTGCTGATGGTGTTATACTAACATCTAAATGAAACTCTACTTTCTGGTATTTCAAAGCTACATGTTTCCGCACAGTCACCACTTAGTGAGTCTAGGTTACTCACAGAAGTGTATTTAACCTCGTGCACATCAAATTAGAGAAGTACCATCGAAAAAATGCAGTTAGTAATCTATAGTGCCTCAGTCATTATATCGGTAATTAGTCTGGCAAATCATTGTGAATGTCAGCTGTAATCTGACTATTACAAGCAATAGATAAGTAGCCTTCGGTTTCTGCAAACGGGTTAGACAGGAAAACTAGACTTTCACTAGATGCTGGTTATTTCATAAACAAAAAGGTGTACAGATTTAATTCTTTTATCAACCGTCATTCTTTTTATTGTGATAATGACAATATATCCAGTCTACATAATGGGGTTTGGATTGCAAACTGTTTAAGCAGCGTTGAACATAACACCTTCAACCATAGGTGTTATGTCGACAGTCAAGTTCGGTGATTACCTCTTCTAATAGAACTTTGAAAATAGAGTCATCCTACTCACAGTTGAAATGTGGATATCAAAATGTCTGAATACATGTACTGTTTCACTTAGTTGGTAGTTACTTTTGTGTTGCAGAGATTATCACTTTTAAAAGACATAATCAAGGCCTAATCCCCGATCACAAACAGGGCTGTGTGTAAGACAAAGTGTGGATTTTCAAAACAGTAGTATCAGCTGAAACTTTATGCAGTTTTTTAATACCTAAGACTAGGGGTTGTGTTTTTATGACCTGTTCCCCAGGCAATTGGAAATGCAATGTCTGTCACTTGGAAAGATGCGTAGTGAGATATCTGTACTGGAGAATTTTTTGGAAGTAAATTAGTTCATTTAATATAGTGGTAGCTCTATGATTACTAGCTGACTTCCAATTGAAGCATTCATAAATAACTATAATAAAATTGACTTTTGTAAGCTTTATGTTTATGAACACAGTAGAATAGATACTCCCTGATTATGCTGGAAAATATGGTAGCACGATACAGTTCAGTAATTTCTGTTGCAAAAGCTTTTGTTTTGTATAGTTTGAAGTTTCTTTCTTCGTGAAATGTTGTGTTTTCAATCATTTCAGATTTTATTCAGCTGAAATTGCATTGGGCTTGTTCTACCTACATAATCATGGGATTATTTATAGGTGAGTAAAACTGTTCCCCAATTTCCTGGTGTGTTTTTGCGTGTGGGTGTATGTGTGTGAAAGATTAGGCCTGTCAGTGTACTAATTTCCCTTTTTGTTTCTGTTTGTCTTGATGAATTTTATGAAGCTACTCCAGTAGTTTTCAAAGTGTGATAATTATCGTTGAGGAAGTGATTTTTCAGTTTGTACTTAGTGTTGTCGTGTGTAGCCACTGCCAGTAATGTATTGACACTATTTTCATGATCATCCGCTTTCCAGTGTCTAAATAGTTGTATTTTATTTGTAAATTTGTGAAATCTGTATGTATGCAAACTTTTGTCATAATTGTGATTGTAGTGTGATTGATGTCAGTTTTAAATTTCAGTATACTATGACGTTATAATTATCTCAATTCTTCAAATGTTGGTGCTTGTGTATTATCGACTTGAACACAAATTGTCTCTTAGGCTATTATTATTATTACTATTATTTGGAACGTAATACATATAAGGAAAGTATATCATAAGATTGTGTTAATATGTGACTTTTCTATACATACGCCTTCGGCAACAGATGGCGTAAATGACTTTTGAAGGCCACGAGCAAAGACATTACGATTCGGACACTTAAGGAATGACCAGAGAGGCGTTTGTTTATCAACTAATGTATCTAATACTCTCTGTACAGATATAAGGCGTTTAAAACCTATCTCACTGACTTCCAGGCGTCTTATGTGTTGTGTTTTCATAACGAAATGATAATTTGAAACAATTAGTCCCTTTTATGAATTTGGATAATGTAATTAGAAGACGTAGATTATCTGAAAAATGTGTTGTATTAGCGCTATACATTTCGAACAATCTGATCACACATTTACTTGTTAAGGCATTATATATGAAAACTGGAAGTGGGGGTAGGACACATATGACATAAAGGAATTCAATAATAAGAAAGATAATGAGAGGAATAAAAGATAAGACTTGAAGACAATCTTGGTAATACGATAAAATAAGCATTACCAAGGTAGGCTTAATGTAAGGACAAACTGTTTTTGCACACACAATGGGGGGTTAAATTTATTTATGGCTAGCGCCTCAACAAACTTAAGTATACGCCCCTGACAGTTTTCCTACAAAATTGTAAAGGCTGTCTTGATATCAATTCTGTGACTCTTATCAATGATATGTTTCGCAATGGATGATGATGGTTGTCTGCCATCTGCGCTTATCAATGTTTGTGAATCCAGCTGCTTTCGTAGCCACTTTGGAACATGTTCCCCTACCCTCAAGTGCATATCACGATTCGTCCTCCCTATGTATGTTTGTCCACACACACATGTAAATTTATAAACGCAGTGGGATGTGACACAATCGTTTATACAGCGTTGAGGTCTAGGTAGCAGCAAGTGTTTGGTCTTCTCAACTATGATAAGCTTAGCTGCATAGTACGTTTTGCTAACAGCAGACCTTAACCTTCGTCTTAATATTATGCTGTTAGATTCTCCTTTGTATGGTAACGCGATGTAAACGCACTTCTTCCAAACAGACTACAGATCAGGTTTGAATCCTCACTGATTTTTGCAGCAGTTTATGAACTTCAATGGATATCCATTTTCCACTAATGTTTCCATTAGTATTTTGATATCATCATCCATTGAGTCCTCCGTACAAATACGCTTGATCCTTATATAGACAAGTTACCAAACCTTGCTTGTATTGGGTTAGACAAAAGCTATGGAAACTTAAATACTGACCTGTCCAAGTAGGTTTCCTGTAGATCGACCGTTTTATTGAACCATCATTTCTACGACTTAGGAGTATATCCAAGGATGGCAGACGGATTTCTTTTTCTTCTTCAAACTCGATAAAGGGTCGGGTGTGGTTGTGATGGACAAATGTGATTACAAAAACAAGATGATGTCCATCCTTAGCGATGAAAGTAAATTTATGGCTGATGTTCCATCAGACGACCTTAGAAAATTAGAATGCAAAGTAACATCTAGTCTGATAAAACTCCTGAATATCAATGTTATCAACAAGGAAGAATTTGCTTCCCTCAAACCAATGGGGTCTGAGCTACCTAATCTGTATGGATTGCCTAAAATTCATAAAAAAGATAATCCTTTACGTCCTAAACTCTCCATGTTCCGTTCACCTACACATAAAGTGGCGAAATGGTTAGCAAAAACTCTAATTCCTATTCAAATGATTTATGTAAGTTTTCTTTAAAAGATACTTTTGAACTTGTTAATTATGTCAGTGATATTAATATCAAAGATAAGAGATTGTATTCATTTGATGTCAACTCCTTATTTACTAATGTACCCCTAATTAAAACCATTGACATTCTTTGTGATTATATATCTTCCAGTAATCCTTCTTTCCCTATCCCCTCAACGTGTTTGAGAGAGCTGTTATTATTGTGTACTGATAAAGTTCATTTCACATTTGAAGGTGAACATTTTCGACAAATAGATGGTGTGGCTATGGGAAGTCCCTTAGGACCATTGCTAGCTGATATTTACATGTCACACATTGAGTGCTTGACCGGCGATCTCATCAGTAAAGTTACTCTCTATAAAAGATATGTTGATGATATAATCGTGATATGTGATAAGCATGAAGATGCGACATGTTATGTTATCTGGATAATGTAATTAGAAGACGTAGATTATCTAAAAAATGTGATGTATTAGCGTAAATGTGTGATCAGATTGTTATAAATGTATGGCGCTAATACATCACATTTTTCAGATAATCTACGTCTTCTAATTACATTATCGAAATGGTAATTCTCAGTGTTTTTTTTTATTTCATAGTAACCAGGGTACCAATTTTTTTAAAGTTATTTTAGCCCAAAATTCAGTTTTCAGGGTTAGAGATTCATAATTCCCTTACTACCTGCAAGTTTAAAGTTTTCGAAGGTATTCAACTCCATAGTCAACCCTTTTCTTTTTACATGAGCCCTTTGTGGACTATTCACAGTAAACATTAGATGTATCTATTTCACATAGCAAATCACTAGTAATAAATTTCATCATAGTATTTCAGGCCACCTATTCCCATTGTAAACCCTAAATGATCTGTTTGTTTATGCATTCTAACAGGAATGCTGCCTTTGAAATTAACTTGTGGTGAGTAACCTAACCCCGTTGTCAAATGTATTTATGTTCATCAGATATAAATTCAGCAGTATGTCGTGACTGCTTGTGGTGAGGGTATTATTGTTTCCGCCGTTATCTTTTTTAGGATGATTTTGAATACATAAGAAGGAAATGCACGTTGTCCATTATCTGTTACAGAAGTGTCTATGAGATAAAGATTATTCTTATTTTCTGTTTTCTACTTTTCTCTGGAGGGATCTAAAATTGGATAACATTTTATTGGACAGTGAAGGTCATATTAAAATTGCTGATTTTGGCATGTGTAAGGAGGGCATATTCGATGATAAGAAGACACGTACATTTTGTGGTACACCTGATTATATTGCGCCTGAAGTGAGTATTCGCATAATTTCTGTTTATTTCTTACTAATGTTCAATACTGTGATTGTTGTTAGACACTGTCAGTCTTCCACTCTGTCCAACAGATTTTGATAGTCCTTGTTTAGTATTTTCCAGTGCCACACTGACTGTCCGATATTCTTGTCATCCTAATAAACAAATCAACTACACTGTCATCGATTGCTGAAAGCGAAATTCAGAAAATTAGAATAATTTTACTTAACGAGAACTAAACTAAAACTCAAGTAACTGGAGACGGTTTCGTATGCCGTGCGTTAAAAGATTCTTTTAGGTGTCGATATTTTGAAATAAACGTTCACCTGGAATCAAAGGACACGAAAAGGCCTAGACTAACTCATAAATGGATTAGCTACCTACTGTGTTTTGTTCATAGTTGCAGTGGAAGATCTCGCTTCCCTGTTGAATGCTTTTATTATCATAAGGGTTAGTTGTTTCCATTGTGAAGTGTGTTGAATTTAAGTCTATGTAGAGAGAAGATGTCTGTTGGCAGTAATCACATAATGCATCATAAATCTGTGCCAGGTTTGCAACGTATGTGAAGTTTTAAGAATTAGATTTTTGACAAAGTATTAAATATAACTTATATCATCACTAGGAATAATTTTATCAACAAATAATAAATATTCTATGCCATTGCAAGAACAGAGAAAAAGCCTCCTGTTGTAACCATAGAGGAATCAGTCTGACGAGCATATTATTCAAAACTCTAGGTTCAATAATCACTGGGTGCCTAAAAGAAGCTGAAAAACAGAAAGCATAAGAAAACTAGGCAGCTTCGGACCTTATCTTAGGTGTATCAACAAGATACTTACTCTCCCATAGGTTCTGATACACAAGAGCACTTACGGGTGCCCGACACAAACTCTATTTTTAACCTGAAGGTGCCATTCAACTCATCGACCAAGAGGTCTTATGTCAGTGTCTCTCATGGAGAAGTGTGCCGAGTGAGTACCTCACTTTGTTGAAGGCTATGTAGTCGAAGACCTATGGGCGTCTCAGAGTCGACCACTAGTTAATATGTTAGTTATTCAGGCTGGGACATGTATGCCAAGGAGGTTCGCCCCCTCTACTTGTTTTATTCTGTCATAGACATCTGTCTTTACGTGGGTTGACCTATTCACATGCGCTACCTTAATAAACCTACAACTTGTAAGTGACATAGTCCTGTTGGGTGAGGAGGCTGAAAAAATGCAGTCTCCTGGATACATTGAATAGCGATTTGAGAATGTTGGGGATGCGTTTTTCTCCACCCAAATGCAAGTTGTTGTTCTGGAACTTATCTGTGTTGCTACCTTGTCTAACAATAGGGAATGAAGTGGTGTAACGTATTTACTATTTTTTACTCAGATTGGTAACTGATCGGTCCTGATGGATATATGACGACGAAATATCTGCTTGGACGCTGAAGGCTCAATTGGTCTTCGTCAGCTTACGCCATGAAACGCCGCTTGTACTGTTCAGCAGTTCTCTGTGACGAACTATGTTGTAGTGAAACATGGCCACTGTATGTGACCACACGAGGAGACTTCAGATTTCCGACCATCGTTACCTTCATATCATGGATCGAGTGTTGCGCTGTGACAACATCACTTACGTAGGAGTCAGGAGTGAAGTACTGATTGAAAGCGGAAAGCCAGTTGAGGAGGTTGCGAAGCCCCATGAACTCAAATGGCTTAGACACGTGTTAGTCACCGTCTGCCCCGTCGCACAATACTAGCTGAAGTAAGTTTGGGTTGGACAATTGTAACGGTGGCCAGAACTAATAAAACATAACATGATTGTTGGGAAACGTAAACTTACCGATTGAGGTCCGAAAGACAACAGAAAACGGCGACTGAAGATTCTATGTAATGTGGCTCAGAGCCGGTTTCAAAAGCGTAGCCATTTCCAGACATTATTTTCAGCTCATTCATTACACCGCTTTCTGTTGTTGTCTAATTTCTGTTTGTTCTGTTTCCCCCACTTTTTTCTACTTTCTATCTTATCTATCAATTTTGACCTTGTTACCTTCTGTCTTGATGTGCTGATATGATTATGAGAAGATGAATTGTTTGTTACACAGTAATATTGGATCTGATGTTAGTGTTGATTGACTAACAGCGGTATGCTGAGTTTTGCATTTTCTAACTGTCAACTCGATACGATCAAAAGTTTTCGTTTTTCATATGAACTGCTTTTTCCATTTAATATAATCCATGTGTCCACAAATTCAACATTTTGGGTAGAAATAGACTTGTAATTAAGTACCATAATCAGTATCCATGATTTCTGAAAAATGCTTCAGAATATGAATAAAGTTGGATGTAGTAATTGTTATAAGTGCACAAAACTCACTGAAATATTTCTGTCCATGATATTCATCTGAGTTTTGATGAAACTTTTTATAAGGCAAATAGGCATATTTCATCGCTAGGATCATTCAAACGCATGCTTTTTATTCAAGTACTAATCAACATTATCCGTATTATGATTATCTGTTGATCAGATTATTGCTTATGAACTGTATGGAAAATCTGTGGATTGGTGGTCATTCGGAGTACTCATCTATGAAATGCTTGCCGGTTTGGTAAGTGGAGTTACTAGCGTATTTAGCTGTGTTCTTTTTGCTCTTGCTTTTGAATACTTTTTTTCATCTGAGTTTTCATTTTATAATTCTACAGTGAAATTTATTAAAGTAGAAATCGGTTGTTGAAGCGTTTCTCTTATTAGATAGGCGCTTCAAGTATACTACTGCTAATATTCCAGTTTACTGTCAGTTTGAAATGTTTCATATGACTGACAATAATCGAGTAAATTGTTGTTATAACTCACATTTGCATCACAGTGTGATGGTTGATATGTTCTACAATATTCTGAACTACTGGAATTCGAACTTCACTAAAAATGTGTCAAGAACTTCATCAGCAGATCAGCATACTCGGCTGAGGTACTTTTTATTATCACTGCTCAATTATTTGAAGCTAATGGAACTGTTTCTAGAGTTTTATTTTTACTGGCAGCTGCTGAAGTTCAAAAGGTTAATTGGGTGGCTTAATTATAGTGAATGCTTCCAACCATGGATGTGTTTTTTTTAACTGTAGAATTCACCACATTAGCCGACCGACTACCTACGTTCGACAGAATTCAATTCATATTCGTTTCGATGACTAGTAGATGGGTGTTACTTCATTCAGTTGATGACAATTCAACGCTGACCTAATGTAGCCTATATCCAAATTTAGCACACTTTTTTGAATTTGTGTACCGTACAGACTAATATGTTTTTCAGCAAACTAAAGTTACATTCAACAACAGTGGTGAGCTTGAAGATATCACAATTACAAACTCATTTCCTAGAAATTTTTATCAAACTTCAAGGTGATTTTTATATCGAATGAATATCAGTTGGATATTATCCATGTGTAGAAAGTTAGTTCTTGTTACAGAACTATGTTGGTTAGATAAAAGATTGTTATTCTCATCCCTTTACCTTTCACAATAATAATGTACCTTTCAGCAATCAAACCACTTAATTGTTGACAAATGTCTTGCTCACTGCCTTGATAAATACTAATTACACCTACTTTTGTGTTATATTCTTCACTGCCAATTACAGTGAGAGTTAAACGCTGCAGTAGCACTAAGACGCTAACAAAATGACTGCTAGGAAGAAGTTAATGATATCACAGAAATAAATTGCATTCATTTTCACTGTTACCGTTAGTATTATTATTATTATTATTATTATTATTATTATTATTATTATTATCAGTCCCTTGGCTTCCTAATGGAATATAGGGCTTCAGTAGCACGTCTCCAGTGCACTTTGTCCTCTGAAATCTTTTAAACCTGTCTCCACGACAGCCCAGAAGCCCTCATTTCCTCCTCGCACGATCTCCTTCATGTCACCCTCAGCTGGGACGCCCAACTCGTCGCTTCCCATCTGGGTTCCACTCGAGGGTCTGGGCTGGTGCGTGATGCCCCAGTCGGCCTTCTCAGTGTATGCCCAATTCAATCCATCTCCACTTCCTTCTGCATATTTGTTGAGCGATAGGTTGTTGGTTGTTTCGTCACCAGCCAGCCAGAGTTCCTTGTTGCTTATTCTCATTATTCTGGTCATCTGATCTTGAGTAAGGAGTGTAGGTGGCAGTTGTTGATGAATGTCTGTAGCTTGTTGGAAATGCCTTTCGTAACGCGCCAATTCTCTGAACCATACAGAAGCACTGACTTGACTGACGTTGGTGTTGAAAATCGGAATCTTGTTCTTTATGCTGAGTGCAGAAGATCTGCACACTGGTTTCAGGCTAATGAACGCCTGTCTTAGTTTTCCGATTGTGGCTTTGACATCCTCGTCTGTGCCACCTGTAGTTGAAACGGTGCTTCCTAGATAGGTGAAGGAGGTTACTTCCTTAAAGTTTCTCCCGTTGATGGTGATTTCAGTTTGTTGTTGTTGTTGGAGTTGTTCGTTGGTTATCTTCATCACTTCTTTCTTCTCTATATTCACCTGAAGTCCCGTCTTCGCTGCCCTGCCTCTTCTGCCAACTTGTTAGTTTTCACCTGTAGATCTTCAAGTTTATGTGACATCAGGCACAAGTCATCGGCGAAATCCAGATCTTCTAGGTTCTTTTCCCTAGGCTAGCTAGCGTATCCCCCTCTTCTCGCTCCCCACTGTTTGCTGCATGATCCAGTCGACCACAATCAGGAATATCATGGGGAATAGTAGGCAACCTTGTTTCACTCCTATCTTCACTTCAAAAGCATCACTGAGCTTCCCACTGTCAGTTACTTGGCATATGGAGTCTTCATATAGTTGTTGAATGAGGCTGATAAGGGTTTGCGGTATTCCGTAGTGTTGAAGCAGTTTCCAAATTACCTCTCGGTCAACCTTGTCAAAGACATTTTCAAAGTCGATAAAGTTGAGGTAGAGAGTTGACTGCCATTCTATACTCTGTTCTATGATGATGTGAAGCGTTGCAATTTGGTCCGCACATGATTTGTTCTTCCTGAAGTCAGCCTGACTGTTCCGGTCGTAGTTTTGAATCCAGCGCATCCTTAAGCCTCTCCAAAATGAGGCCACTTTAATATTTTGCTTGCTTTGGGTGGACAGGAGAGTGATTCCGCGCCAGTTCTTGCTAAGACTTAGGTCGCCCTTCCTCGGCAGTTTGACAAGGTAACCCTTCTTCCAATCAATTGCCAGGTACCTTCCCCTTCTTCCAGACCTTCTGCAATAGTGGTGTGAGCATGTCTGCTGTTGTCTGTGAGTCTGTTGTCAGTGCTTCTGGTGAGATTCTATCCGGTCCTGCTGCTTTCCCGCATTTCAGTAGGTTTATTGTGCTCAGGACTTCGACTTTCATTGGGGGACTTGTGTTCACTTGTAGTTCTGTGGCTGCAGGTGGTGGTGGATTCAAGAGCTTTTTGAAGTGATCATCCCATCGTTTCTTTGTTTCTCCTCTCTGATCGTAACTGAGTTTCCTTCACCATCTTGCATTGGTTTCATCCCCGTTGATCTCTCCCTTCGCAGATAGAAACCTGGTTATTTGATACAATGTTGTCAGGTCTCTGTGTCTCCTACCCGAAGCCTGTTCTGCTTCACTTGCCAGTGTTTCGTAGAAGTGTCTTTTGTCTTTGCGCGCACTCTCCTTCACTTCTTTGTCCAGTGTTTTATACATTGTACTCAGTTCCTCTTGTCGTTGAGCATCCTTGCACTGGTTTATCTTCTGCTTCACCATCCTCCTCTCCCTGCTCTATCAACTTCCATGTATCCATTGAGATCCATTCCCCAACTTCTTTCTTCTTCCTTCCTAATACGGCTGTGCAGGTTTCTTTCCACATCTCTTTCAAAGGCTTCCAGTGTTCTTCCACACAGGTTTCTTCAGGGATGTTCCTCGATATCTCGCATTTTGTCTTGATGGCTGACTGGCGTGAAGATTTCCTTTATAGTTTTTTCCTTCAGTTTTCGAGTGTTGTACTTGAACTGTGGTCTGTCACCAGCTTCCTTGAAGGCTTTTAACTTGATTAAGAAGGTAGGTTCCTTGCAGTGGATAGATAGTGAGTGGTGTGAACCTACATGTGCTCCTCTTCTTGACCTTGTGTCAAGTAGACTGCGTCTCCATTTTCTTGAGATTGAGATAAAGTCGATCTGGTTTTTAGTGTGTCCATCTGGTGTCTGGTGAAATCCATGTCGCTGCTTTGTGGATATCCTTGTGCTTGAACACACTGCCTCACTGCAATCACCAAATCGTTGAGTGCACAGAATTCTGTAAAGAATTCTCCATTCTCGTTCATCACCTCACTGAGCGCTTCTCGACCCATGGTTAGTTCTCTTCCTGTGTTGTCTGCTCCGAGTTTGGTATTCATGTCGCCCATTAGAATTTTGATGTGGCCAACTGAGGACTTGTCCAGTGTTGATTGCAGTTGTCTGTAGAATTCCTCCTTCTTCTCTTGCTCTGCATTATTTGTAGGTGCATAGCATTGTATGATTGTGACCTTTCTTCCTTTTGAGTTGAACCTTGCAGTTATGATCCTAGAGTAGATTGGTTCCCAGTGCATGAGAGCCTTCGATTTTGTTGGGGACATCATGATAGCCACTCTCTAACTCAGTGTGCTCGTGGTTGTCATCTGGGTGACCGGAGTAGATTATTGATTGTCGAGTTGACAGTTTGGAGAGTCCACTTCCATTCCATCTGCTTACACCTCACAAATTCCAAGCACTTCAATGTGATACCTCTTCATCTTGTTTGCAATCTGGGTTGCCTTGCTGGGTTCAAACATGATGTGGACATTCGATGACCCCACGTTTACTTTCGCTTTCATCGAGGGAGAGAATACACATTGGCCAATTGGCTTCCCGAAGGGTTTCCCCAACCGGCGTCATTTCGCCTCTCTAATTCCAGCGAGGAATAATTTTGTTATTATTTTTTATATATATTGTTTGTGCTTTGAAGTTTCTTTAGCGGTTAGATTTGTTTTGCGGGGTAGAGTTGCTAGGCGTATGCTCAACCTTCCCTGTTTACCCGGGCTTAGGACCTGCTAGTAACTAGTGAACTAGTTAACCAGGCGATGTTGTTACCGTTAGTATATATACTAATTTGTACACTTGACTCCCCAGAGACGGGTTATTTCGCTGAAAGTCCGTTTAACATATAACCATCTAAATAAACTGACTGTTTACTTGTTAGTCGGTTGGAGGCAATCGGCAGGAAGCCCTGGACCTAGGTTTCGTGCTTTATGGCACTTCTCAGCAAGGCGTATCTGCAACCTCGACAGAACTGATGTCTCGCCTGAGATTCGTCACCCACCCACGTCACCCAGTGTTGTAGTCAGCGACTTTACCACTGAGCTATTCGGGCCGCGGCTGACCTCCTGTAGGACTGGCTTACATGTATTTATTGGTCACGGGAGTGCAACCAATTTCATGCTGTCTAGTCCTGAGTGCAGACGAATTCCGTCGATCGTATTTGCAATGTGGCAACCAAGCTAGGAAGCTCAGCATCACGGTGCACATTAGTAGACGTTAGTTGGTTGGAGGCAATCGGCAGGAGGCCCTGGACCTAGGTTTCGTGCTTTATTTGTTTTAGTCGTTTGCTTGTCGGAGGAACAATCGTTACATTTTGATGAGCCTTATGTGCGGTATTTGCAAGGATTATGTTGACATTAGGAACCCAAGGGACTAATAATAATAATGTTGACATTAGTATTGTCACTAATAGTTTTTATTACTTCAGTAGACTGAATGTCATCTCATCTGTCTTAGGATATACAAACTGTTTTGCAGATTTTCAGGTATGATGTAGAGTTAAAGAAGGGTTAAAATTAAGGAACATTCTACTGGGCAATTCACCAGCATCATAATCACTTTGAAATAAAATTTGATATGTTAATCATAAGGTATTCGATTGGCTTATAAACCTGAAGTTTATGAACACTAACTTGTATGTAAAACTTTGTTTTGCACAATACTGATTTAAATAAGTAGAAAACTTATCATCCATTGCTATCAAGCACTTGTACAACCCATAACAACTGATATTGTATACTGACATAACAGTTAACATCTCTAGAGTTTCTATTTTAAATGAAAACCTGTGCTATGACAGAACTTACCTGGCACCAGTCCAAAAAAGTATTAGGAATCAAAAAGACAAACTGGAGTGCAATATTGCTTATTTACTGTTAACATCCTGTTGTTTAGGCTACTAGAGGTCACGATCATCAGTTCCCTGACAAGTTCGACAGTGTCTGACTACCATTTAATAAAGGCGACGGTTGAATGACCTCCAACTAGACATACGGAAAATGAAGGGTGGCATATCTGCGATGTTTATCTGTCGAGAAAAGTCACTGGCCAAAAATATTTGAGTTTTATTCATCTACCACTCAATACGACTGATTTTATTCTGCATAATAGATCTGTACTGGTTAAGTTGTGTGAAATCTGTTAGCAGGAATTTTGTGTTTGTGCGGGGGGTGAAAAACACGTAATCCTTGTCATTTCAACTTCAGTCATTGTTGTTTTGCGTGCATACAAAGTACGACTAACTATATTCGGAGAATTCTGCAAGATATAATGTGAATGTAATCAAGAAATCACAACAAGTTTTTTCTTGTAATATGTTTAGAAAAAATATTTTCGGTGAACCAATCAAATCCCGTGCTCCATTTGACGCAGGCTAATCGTAACATATATATAGACTGGTTATTCACATTAGTTGTATTTTGTTTTTGTTTTAGCCACCGTTTGATGGTGAAGATGAAGAAGAGTTATTTCGAAATATTGCTTCTCAGGATGTGGCCTATCCTAGACATATGTCTAGAGAAGCTTGTATGCTGTGTCGTAGTGTAAGTTGGCACTCATACATTGATATTTGTATGTAATTGTGGAGAGATTGATGCGAGTATATGTATCCTGCCACTAAAATACAATGGAAATTGTAACAGTATGAGAGATGTGGTTAATGACGGGGTTAATGTGATACGCATGAAATCGCTGGTAGCGTTTTTTCTATGTTCAAATAATCAGAAATAAACGGTTCTTTAGCTCCTATTTAGGGATAGTTTTCAGTGGCATCGAGTCTTGGCCGTGCGAAAGTCAAAGTTTGCCGTAAAGATTGGCATTTGAGACCACCCGGTTAGACAGCAACAGTTTGTGGATAGTTTTAAATTTATGCTCTTGAGCAAGAGCACGTAAACCTTTGAAGATTTATCATAGTGCTCGATTACAAATCTACGCACAAGAGAATATGGTGATGAATTTATAATACAAACTGTTTGTGTCTTGGCAGGATTTTAATAGCTTAACTCTTGTACATCTTTCGTTTCCTGATACCCTACCGATAGCTGCTACCTTGATGTTGTGATCCCACTTGCATATCACTATGACCCAGCAAACGACGCTAATTGGAACGCCTTTTACTTCAGGTCTTGTCTAGCCAGAAAGGTCTGTTGGATAACGGTGAGACAGAAAGCAGTTACCGTCATAGTGTAAGTGTCTACCTTATGATGTGGGTTCGAGGGCCATTTCATACTGCTGAATGACTGGAAGTGCTCAGAGTACAGTGAGGAGCGGAAACCACTAAAATGCAGTGATAAAACTATGCAACAGTTACTAGCAGTTGTAGGTAGCGAAAGCTAAAGGAATGGAAAAGGCGGTGGTGATATATAAAAATAGAGAGCTATTAGACTTGCAAAGTGAACTAGGGCGAAGTAGTCAGTTGTTAGTGAGACAATAACGGAGAAGGATGAGTTTGCCATTTACTGGACGAGGATATGTCAGCAATAAGGGATTCTTTATGGATAAGCAGCAGTGTCATGCCGATGCTACTTTCCCTACAGAATGGTAGGAGTTAACATATATCACCAATAAAAATAGAAAATTATTCCCTGCTCTGTGGTATGGGTTTATCTTTCCTAGTATCAGTGAAATGAAATCTCAATTCACATATCTTAAAATGCCGCGTGTGGAGGCATCAAGGACTCGACTCAGTCAAAAGCAATACCTTTTCTCTTTCAGGCATTTTGTGGAAACAACTTTGATGGTTTGGGCAGCCGGGAACTACCAATAACCCAATTAATTATGACCTAATATCCTTACGTTCTTTTCAGCTCTCCACTTGCCTTCCTGGCATCAGTTTTAGGCCCCTTCGTTAGCTTCTCATCCCGCGACCTTTGCTAGCCCCCCAACCCAGCAAAACATCAATCTTATTCTCATAAAACTAGTTTGACGATTTCACGTCGGAGATTTCATTGCCTGAGCACCCTTGTATGTCGAGTAAATACCGTTTCTTGTCAAAACTTTAGAACCCCGAGCCATTGATGTATGCTATCTTTTTGAGACATGTATACAGGACCTGACTGCAGCTAGTCTCTTATCTTCACCTCAACAACGCGATAAATATTAAAATTCACTTTACGAGTGTCTGGAGATTTGATTGCTAGTCTCTGTGAACTCACTGGTGTGGGGTATAGCATTAATTTCACAAACAGAAAACGCACTTTTCAATTGAATATCAGTCAACAGTATTCTGTACGATGTCCATCTGAATAAATCTGTAATAAAAAATTGTGACACTCACCGATGCTAATTCGTAGTCTTCAGCTGCGATCCCATCGACTGCAGTCTGGATGTCACAAAGAATGGATTCTGCAGAAAGCCGTCAATTTTGCTAAAGAAAGCGAAACTATCAGATGTAATCATAATTCCAAGTGACTTCGACGCTCAAGTGAGGAAACTGAGCCAGTTGAAATGCACATGGCGGGTATCTGCGAAATACCATGCCACCCAATAGACAGCAGTAACCATCTCTTGCAGCTTTTTTCCCACAATCACTCGTTTCTGGCCTGTACCAAATTTAAGCATAATGAGAGACCCTGTCTCATTTGGGGTCTACGGAAATCAAACATGGATAAACATGGATGGAATATACTGTCACATGCCACCATAAGACAGGATCCGTAGAGAATTTCTGCTAGTTGTGGGGAATCTGCTTGGACTCCGATCACGTGTTAGTAGGGGGACGTGTTTGTCAGCAATTTACTGATCGCAGGGAATCATGTGTGTACTCGAATGGAAGATGAGAGTGTCAGTTATGCATTTAGGGAGGAGATAGCTAAGCATTTGTCTTAACGTGACAGTAATTCTCATTTTTATGAAACATGGTGTGGCATTCAGTCTACTGTAGAAGCAGCGGCTAAAGGTAGTTAGCAAACAAATTCCAACAAAAGTCAGTGGATTTCCGCAACGTAATCATAACTGATCAGTGCGAGAAAACTCATTTCAGCTGATTCTGACTACAATGAGAAACGAAAGCATCTGAGACGTAAATTAACTAAGGGTCTTCACAATAATTGGGAGCCGCGGTGGGTGGCGAAAGAGCGAGAGAAAGATGCAAAAGGCATTAAGTAATACCCTGCAATTATTCAGCCTTATAAGGGATAGTGGTTACAAGAAGACGATATGGAGTGAAACCACTACTGTAAAGAATAGGATGTGTTGATCACTTTGCTTACTAGGGATGTTGCATCAGGCTTAAAAGGTTGGTTACTTGTACAGTCTCCGCTCGGATACCCAATGTCTGTTTTGCCATTCGCCAACTCACACCATCTCTAGTGACGACAAGATACCTGACTACATAATAAAGCATGAGCATACTGCGCTGCAGCATTTTCTGTCATATATGACTGCGAAGCATAGCTGTTGGAAATACAAGACGTGAATAAATTATAAGTTCATACCAGAGACATCTTCGCGTCATTACTCACGTTTGGTGGAATCACTATGTGAGTGTTGTTGAGGGTAGACGAAGGGTACTAGATAATTCAGTCCATTAGATTTTGATTCTTCATCGACTGAGTGGCTTGGACATGTGTTGCACATGTTGCGCTCACCTCAATGTGCAATGTTAGCTGAAACAGAACTGGCTTGAAAGAAGCTCTTAGAGTGGCCAAATTATAACGTGACGCTGGTCTACTGGGTTTTTGACCATTGTTCTGAACCGCGTACGTAGGTACAGACTACCTGCCTGGGGACCTCGAGTTAATGGGAATCAATGGTTAGACGTTCTCTTTGTAATTGTTAAAATACGGTCATAATAGTGAGAATGTACTCACTCCTTGAACTCTTGGAAAATTTGAAATTTCCAAAAAATTTCATTTTCAAATCCTTTCTCCTATCATAAACGATTGTCGCTCTGAAAGCTCTCTTTTTCTAACGGTTAGTTGTTTGCATGCCATTGTCAAGTGTGGTAAACTGAAGCACTTCTATGCGAGGTTCTATGTTGATTTTGTCTTTTTTTACGTATCATTGGTTAAACCATCAAGCAGTCGAGTTATTTAAAAGGTGTCACACAAACTCTGCTATCTCACTATCTTGCTTTTAGATACGTAGGATCACTCATGTTATTCAAGTATTAGTCTCTTGTTATTCTGAAGGTGACCTGAATTTCACGTCACACAAAAAAGCTAGCAAGGAGAGTTGGGACAATACTTCACATTCTGAGCAAAACCAACATATTAGCTGGGAGAAGAACCTCCATTCCAATTATCATTTACTCATGTCAATCAAATATTGATAGGTGTACAACAATTTGACAAACATATTTTGATTGTCGATAGGGAGGCGAGGAGGTGGGGTTTGTTTACCACTTGTGTGAACGTAGATGTTGACGAGAAACTGGAGTGAAAAACTGAATAAGTTATATCCATTTCATTTGTTTGCTACGCATTGAATCGGATCATGTTGACTTCATGCATGAACTACTTCATCGTTATTCTTAGTGTTGTTCCCTATCACAACATGACAGCAGGTATTTCTGACGAGTGGAGCAGATACTTCAATGTGGTCACATAGGTTGTACGTTAGAGACTTGAATGTTTGTGCTGTTGAGTGATATGATTTTTCGGTGTGGTATAGCTGTGAGATTGTTTTGTTTTTTTTGGATTCTGAACAGATTCGTAAGTGGGATGGGCTCAAATTGAATTGGGAACGCAGACTTAAGAGATTTTGTTTACCAGTGCTAGGTGTTTGTGTGGTTATTAGGAAGTGTATGCTATCAAAATGCACAGACTTTTCAGACCGATAACTGCTGATTTGAAGTGATGACCACGTTTTCTTATCACGATAACCCAACGAGGCCCTCACATACCTATTAGATGGGTTGCATAGTAGTAAGACGAAAATTAGTTTCTGTCATAGTGCAAATTTTTATGCTATGATGCAAGTCCGGGTGTGAAATTGTATCGCTACCTAGATGGAGTGCGACAACAGTAAGATTTTTTTCCCGGATGATCAGCACTGGCACCTACGCTGTATGCCCTATGAAATGTAATCGTTAGAAAAACTCGGCCGTAGAAAGGAACTTTTTCCTACCCCATGGCATACTCATGCCAAAGATATGGATTCATATTCCCATACACTACCTATGTGTAGTTATTCACCTACCTCATCAGACCAAAATGGTAAAACTAAGGGATTCACACTTCAAGCTTCTGAAGCATCGATGGTTAATTCTTGTGATCCTAAAGGTTTCGGCATAGTAATTAATGCCAAGGCAGCAACTGAACTGCTTGACTGGATCCAAGTTGACAGTCATCTATACGCTGTGCGACTGTGCCGCACAGTGACGACTACAGAGAGCAGTTAAACTCGCCATTACCTTTTTGTAATTTTTACTTACACGCTCACTGAATGTAGTTTTGATGAAGTGAAGGAGGACTTCTAACGAAATCTGTCTGGCCTTGTGTTGAAAACCAAACCATCAGCTGTGGTTTACGGTTGTGATTCACAAATGGGTAGAGTAATTCAGGTATAAGGGCATTTAGGTGGCGCTTTCGGAATCCAAGGCGAATGAATGAATAGCAGTAAGTCCCTGCTACGACTGTACTCAGATAACCATTTATTTCTGCCCAGCACGAACATTAAGCTTGAAGAGAGATATTATTTGAAGTGGCATGTATCGACCTCATCTCAGCGGTGGACACAGACAGACCATATTGTTATCGGTTATTTCTGGAGAGGCTTGGTGGAAGATTGACGGTCCTTCTGGAACACTTATTTGAACAGCGACTACGCGTTGATTTAAGCACACCTATTTGCACCTAGATGAACATCGAAAAGCTAAAGTAATGAGAGCGTGAGAGTGCAACTCGAAAAGGAGAGCGTTAAGGCCGCTTTCAGTGACAAATTGCTCCAATAGCTATCGGAACAGAACAACACCATACAGCCTGAAGAAGCCTGGAACCGTCTCCAGTCTGCTATAGAAACAATGTTGAAGACCGTAGTCAACTGTATAAGAGTGGTCAGAAAGGACTCTTGGTTCTCAGCAGCTTCTTCTGAATTAATGGGTAAGAATGGATTCCTGCAGGCTGAGAGTATAATGAACTGCGGAAGCAACTAAAATGCCGATTGACGAGAAGTCTACTTGATGACCGCGAACAGTGGTTGGCAGGGAAGACTCAATCAATGGAAAAGGGGGTGGCAATAGGTAATCAAAGTCGGTTATTTAAACTGTAACAGAGAAGGATAGGTCTGCGACTCATTCAAAAGGGAGATGACTGAAACGATGGGCAGAACACTTTGATGAACGGTTCAGCTAGCCTCCAGCTACTATTCCATTCCCATCATCCATCCGGATCCGGAACAGAACCCAGAGATAGGATGCTTCACATTTACAGAAGTCGATAAATCTGCAGGACGAGGTTGAACAATAAGGTCACATGGGCTAGTTCAAAAGATATTTAAGGACGGTGGAAGAGAATTACTGATTAGATCAGCTTAGGTGTTAACCAGCGTTGGGAGTCAAGTATGACTCCTTCTGACTTGAGTCAATCACCAGTTGTCTCAGTCTTCCAAAAAGGAGAGAAAACCTCTGATAACGACTGCAGTGGAATCAGTCTGAAAAACATAGTGTCTAAGATTCTAGGTCCGCTAGGCGTCCGAGCGGAGATCGGGATCAGAAAACTCGAGAAAATTAGACAGGTTTCAAACCGATCATGGGTGTATCGACACCATGATATCCGACTGTCTATTGACTTTACTGCACCGCAGTTCACTATGTTTTATAATATGGTTATAAAAAATGACCACTAGCGGTAAAGTATATGACGAGGCTTCAGGTATTCGAGCACCATCGCCTTTGTAGCAGAGGTTGCGTATCATTATGTCATGGAGTCTGTAACGTGGAAGTCAGGTGTAGAGGTTTAGGGAGGAGAGGAAAGTCAGTTGATGAGTTCATGAAATTTCGTCGACTGATATGACTGAGGAATGTGTTACACATGCCCATTCAGCACTTGCCTCTTCGTTCAATGTTAGTTGAATTAGGTTTAGGCTTGTAAAATGTAATGCTTAATTACACCAAAACATGACATCAGTCTGTGAAGTCTTTGACTGCTGGTCTGAGCCATATGAGGCAATATAGACTTCCTGGTAAGAGTTCCCATGGAAAAAGAAACCAGTAGTTGTAGACTGTAAGTGACATGGCTCAGAATCAGTTTGTGGTGCTGATGTAACCATACATTATCGTCATCTTGATCTCCATACTGAATTCATCTTTTTCCCGTTCCTCCTTCCTGTGTTTTACTGCTTTTGATCCATCCTTCTTTATGTTTCATGTTAGTGCTTTCTTGCTTGCTGGGTTGATATGAGATGTAGCGAATGGGACAGTTATGGAGTAATGACTGCTCCAACGTTGGCGATGATGATGTGCTTTTTACAACTGTCCTTTTTTGAATAGGAGGGTTAAAGTGTGGAGTTCGTTAAGCTGTTGGTCCATGTGAAGCTATATAGGTATTACAAACTTTATGAGCAACTTTTGACAGTTTACTGTTTTGTTTTCTGTCAAAACTATTGATTCCAATTTTTCTCGTGATTATTAAGTTTCTTTGGCAGCAGCCGGATAAGTTCGCTTATCAGATACTATGTTGTGATGGATTCTATCTAGCACACTTGTTTGCGTTTTTAAAAATATTTACATTGGTGGATTGAGAAATAATCATTTTGGAGGAACGTTGGTGAATAAATGGGACCAAGAACTTTTTAGTTGATACCTAAAAATTATGTCTTCCTGATACTACAAGTGTTTTGTTGGTGTGCGCATGTAGTTTTTAAGTGTTTTTATACTTTTTATCTAGTTGCTTGTTCGAAATCCTAAAGAACGACTTGGTTGTGGGCCGAATGGGGAAAGAGATATACGACAACATCAGTTCTATCGTCGAATCGACTGGCATAAACTATCAAACTTGGAAATCCAACCACCATTCAAACCCCGCATTGTGAGTATGCATTAAAAATTAACCTTGATTACCATTTAAAAATTTAATATAGATGAATGAATTAGTTTAGGGTAGAAAACCACTGAAGGTTAACAAAACTTCTTTCAATGAAGCTTCAAAATAACTAGTTTTAGGAGTTATGAAGTTAGACAGGTGTTCATTGCTTCCTTATCTCACTGGTTAAACTGTTGGTTTCATTGATATGTAAGAACAATTTTCAGATTAGTTTATTCCCTATATTTCCTTCCTGACCAAAAGACAGATTTATTTATAGGTATATTTCCGGTTTCCGTTTTTATTTAGGGTAAGAACAATTTAATTGCATTTTGCTTCAAAGTAATCTAATCATTTCTCAATGAGATTCGATCAATAGATTTATGTGTCTAGACACGTATCTATACTCAGTGAGTGAATGTGGATAGTATAAGGTTTTGGTATTCTTTTTAAATGCTCACACAGATATTTCCGGTGTACATTAATCAGCGGTGGGCAGGTACTGAACCATCTAAATTGTGCTTTGAAAAAAAACCTGTTTCTTCTATCTGTTCTGAAACCATTTCTTCAATCACACTAATGTCTGCAATTACTACTGCGGCTCAGGATAACTAAAGTAATTGATATTTACCGTTGATTCATCTATCTAAGACGTGTTACTTAGCAAAGACATGTATATAGGGGATAACTGGATAAGTAGATGTCACGGTTGCATAAACCAGGAGCGACTTTAAAATCCACCTTAGGTTTCTTCACTTCGTCTAGAAAGGCAGATTTTCATAAAATATAGAAGTCTGATTGGTTATTCCAGTTGTCACTCTAAAGCATTCACTTTTTTGTGTGTTTGCTGAATAATATTATCCAATCATAAGAAGATTACGAATCTACGAAATAATTTAAAATGCTATCGATGGAAGTTAAATAAAGCAGTACATGGACTCAGAAAAAGATGTGATGTTCACTTTACATCGTCTAACTAGAGGTTGTAGTATTTTCTCATTTCTCCACCCCTTGGTTAATTATGGATTAAAACATGTGAAATTAAATCCACTGATAACTATAAAACAGTTGTCAAAGATCCACGGGATTCATACGAATTATCAGTTTATTTCACTAAACATGGCTTCCAACTTCTATTCTTCCGGAGAAAGTGGGATGAATATGTTAGTAGCATGAAAGTAATCATTCATTGAGGAGTTGGGGAGCCATGGAACGTTTAAAATGACTGACTTCTGATCATCCTCAGTGTCGAAGCAAACAAATGTCACAGATAAAGTACACCTGTCTATTTGTAAGAGTTGTAATAAAGAGTTAGATAAAGAGAACTTTCTTATGCTTAACTTGAATGAAATGAAATATCTCTTGGTTTTTAATGTAATATTCACCCTATATGATCTTATTTAAGCCAGATGGAAATGTCAAGTTATTTTCACTTCATATTTTAGAAAAATAAACGAGATGTTACCAATTTTGATGCAGAATTCACTAAGGAACAGCCTAGATTAACGCCAACAGATAAATTATTTATCATGAATTTGGATCAGACGGAATTTTCTGGTTTTCTTATGTGAATCCTGAATACATTCTAGAGGTGTAATTTAGTATTTAAGGCTTTTCAAGTTTTGTTGGCCATTATTATGTTCTTCTGCCAAGTGCATAACTATGAGATATCAACTGGTATTTTCAGAGATGTAACTAACTCACAACACTGATAAATAAAATCACTACTTATCAGTCAAAGCAACCAGGAAAGATTTGTTCATTACTTTATATTCTGTTGGTTGATGATTTCATTCCCTTCCTTAACTTTGTTTCAAACAAAACACTCGTGATGTTACCTTTGTATAGAAGTCAACAAACAGTTTCCTCAGTGAAAAAGTAACCTTTTTTATTTTCATTCTGTTCATATAATTGATCTTGTTCAACATGGTTTATTTCTACATGTCCATTAGACCAATAATCACTTGATACTCTCAGTCTTTCGTCAATGATTACTGTCACTAGATTGTTATTTCTTTGAAAACGTTTCAGCTGTCGTCTTCGATATGATTCTTTCTTTCTACAAGCACATGTTAGTGTCCATTTGTCGTATTTAATCTTTGCTTTAGAGTAACTTTTTTTTTAAATATTTTTCTTTTATTAGTTTACTAATGCTCTGCATCCCGCTTAGAAGTATTTGTTTCCTAATTGATTATGCTAAAGAAATGCTACCCACTTCCTTCTACTCTCCAGACTTTCTTTTCCCTCATATGCAGTTTATATTTGACGCTAAGATGGTTTTCAATAATATATGAATCCAAATTTACATTGGATAATTACGTGTTTTTTCAGTACGCTTACACTTGTCTCTTTCATATTTACCACTTTTCTCCTACAGTTATAATTGTGTATTACGATATTGTTCCATAGTGTACCGTTATGTTTTTTTCGCCTAATCACTGGGTTTAACAAAAATTTTCTGTAAAACATAATTTTCAGTAATACTCGTCTTCACTTCTACTCCACGTCTGTATACTAACAGGCGGATTTGGTTTGTATTTTGAAATCTTGTTGAACTCAAGTCTTTTTCACATATGCTAAACATATGAATGTCAGCCAAGTATTTTATTGCTTGAAACTTAATTTCTTACTTTCATTTGGATGTGCTCTATCATGTCATTAGTCAGTAATCAGATAATGCTATATCAGAAAATCGTTACTCTTTGTGTGTGTGTGTGTGTGTTTGTGTACATTTATTTGGACATTTACTATGAATATCTTCGAAATACCTAATCAATTAACGATTTCTAATTCCACTAAATATCAGTCCTGTGCACCTGTGTACTGTAAGGATTGTTTAACTGGCTGTTTCCAATTCTTCGTATAGCCTTATGTTGTTTCGTTAGTTATTCGAACACACACAGTGAACTTGAAAAGTTTAAGATTAAACTAAAATACAAATGTTCTCTGATGAACAGTTTTATCTAAATTATTTGTTACAATCTATTTTTACAATAAATCATTGTGTGTTAAAAATATAATAATTAAGTGGTTGGATAAATTATTGCTGATGCTTTTTTTAATCTGTGGTGCATCTCGACTTTGACTCTGTATTTAATAATAGTCTTTGCACGCTTTTCTGTTGATGCAAACTTTGGGTAAGGCTATTTCTTGTTCAAACCACTTGATCACGGGAAATGTAACGAAAAGATAGTATATTCAGTATTACAGTTGTCACTTAATGCCAATATAATTCTATTCCATAAATATCAGCACCATAGCGTAATCAGTCAACAGTTTTGTGATAATAATAATAATGTTCAGGCACAAGGATATCCACAAAGCGACATGGACTTCACCAGATGGACACACTAAAAATCAAATCGACTTTATCTCAATCTCAAGAAAATGGAGACGCAGTCTACTTAACACAAGGTCAAGAAGAGGAGCAGATGTAGGTTCAGACCACTATCTAGTGCAAGGAACCTTCCAAATCAAGTTAAAAGCCTTCAAGGAAGCTGGTGATAGACCTCAATTCAAGTACAACACTTGGAAACTGAAGGATGAAACTACAAAGGAGATCTTCAAGGCAGCCATCAAGACAAAATGAAAGACATCGAGGGACATCCCTGAAGAAACCTGTGTGGAAGAACACTGAAAGCCTTTGAAAGAGATGTGGAAAGAAACCTGCACAGCCGTATTAGGAAGGAAGAAGAAAGAAGATAAGGAATGGATCTCAATGGATACATGGAAGCTGATAGAGCAGGGAGAGAAGGATGGTGAAGCAGAAGATAAACCAGTGCAAGGATGCTCAACGACAAGAGGAACTGAGTACAATGTATAAAACACTGGACAAAGAAGTGAAGAAGAGTGCACGGAAAGACAAAAGACACTTCTACGAAACACTGGCAAGTGAAGCAGAACAGGCTGCAGGTTAGAGAGACCTGACGACATTGTATCAAATAACCAGGTTGCTATCAGGGAAGAGACCAACACAGATGAAACCAATAAAAGATGAAGAAGGAAATTTAATTACAAAAGAAGAGAAACAGAGGAAACGATGGGATGACCACTTCAAGAAGTTCTTGAATCGACCACCACCTACACTTCGTCCAGAAATACCACCTGCAGCCGCTAAATTACAAGTGAACATTAATCCCCCAACGAAAATGGAAGTCCTGAACGCCATAAAGCTACTGAAATGCGGGAAAGCAGCAGGACCAGATGGAATACCGCCAGAAGCACTGAGAACAGATGCAGAGACAACAGCGGACATGCTCACACCACTATTGCAGAAGGTGTGGAAGGAAGAGAAGGTACCTGGCGACTGGAAGAAGGGTTACCTTGTCAAACTGCCGAAGAAGGGAGACCTTAGTGCTTGCAAGAACTGGCGCGGAATCACTCTCCTGTCCACCCCAAGTAAAATATTAAGCCGCATCATCCTGGAGAGGCTTAAAGACGCACTGGATTCAAAACTGCGACCGGAACAGGCAGGCTTCAGGAAGTACAAATCATGTGCAGACCAAATTGCAACGCTTCGTATCATTATAGAACAAGGCATAGAATGGCAATCAGCTCTCTACCTCAACTTCATCGACTTTGAGAAGGCCTTTGACAGCGTCGACCGAGCAGTAATTTGGAAACTGCTTCAATACTACGGAGTACCACAAACCTTTATCCGCCTCATTCAACAACTATATGAAGATGCCACATGCCATGTAATCCACAATGGGAAGCTCAGTGATGCCTTTGAAGTGAAGACAGGAGTGAAACAAGGTTGCCTACTATCCCCCATGATATTCCTTATTGTGGTGGAATGGATCATGCAGCAAACAGTAGGCAGCGAGAAGAGGGGGATATACTGGACGACGGAAAAGAACCTAGAAGACTTGGATTTCGCCGATGACTTGTGCCTAATGTCACATAAACTTGAAGATCTACAGGCGGAAACTAACAAGTTGATAGAAGAGGCAGCTAAGACGGGACTTCAGGTGAATATAGAGAAGACAGAAGTGATGAAGATACCGCACCACCACCATCAACAGCAACAACAAACTCCAATCACCGTCAACGGAGAAACGTGAAGGAAGTAACCTCCTTCACTTATCTAGGAAGCACTGTTTCAACTACAGGCAGGACGGACGAGGACGTCAAAGTCAGAATCGGAAAAGCAAGACAGGCGTTCATTAGCCTGAAACCAGTGTGGAGATCTTCTGCACTCAGCATGCGGAACAAGATACGGATTTTCAACACCAACGTCAAGTCAGTGCTCTTGTATGGTTCAGAGACTTGGCGCGTCACGAAAGGCATTTCCAATAAACTACAGACATTCATCAACAACTGCTTACGCTCGCTGCTGAAGATCAGATGGCCAGAAAGAATAAGCAACAAGGAACTCTGGGAACGAACCAACCAAGAACCTATCACGCAACAAATATGCAGGAAGAAGTGGAGATGGATTGGCCATACACTGAGAAGGCCGACTGAGGACATCACGCGTCAGGCCCTCGAGTGGAATCCCCATGGGAAGCGACGAGTTGGACGTCCGAGGGTGACATGGAGGAGGTCATGCGAGGAGGAAATGAGAGCTTCTGGGCTGTCGTGGAACCAGGTTCAAAAGATCTCAGAGAACAGAGGTCACTGGAGGCGTGCTACTGAAGCCCTATGTTCCACTAGGAACCCAAGGGACTAATAATAATAAAATAATAATAATAATAAATAAAACCTTCACATATAGATTCTAATCCTGAAGGAATTGAATTCATTGTGCGTAAACTTTAGCTACTTGGAACTAATTTTTCGATTGAAGTTTTCCCAATTACCGAAGCCTGTTGATATTGATAATCAGTCGTTAAAAACTTCGCACCCTGAAGTGAATAAAGAACAGATGAATATAATTTTTAATGTTTCATCGAAATTCTTGATGTAACTATGTGAATAGTTGTCTTTTTCAACAAATTTGAATTTCAATGGTATTCGTACTCAGTGTTTCATGTCGCAACAACGAAACGATGTCCAGTGGAGTAGTATCAAGCACTAACGGGGGGGGGGCGTGGGACGAATTCTCACGAAGTAAAATTTCGTGTATTATTTTTGTATCTAATCAATATTGCTTAATATCCAGATATTATAGGGTGCATTTATGTATACAAATATATTTATATACATGAGTGTTTAAATTACTTGGATATTAATCTCTCATATTAAGGGATGAAACTTTGGAGCTGATAGATAGTATTTTCGATCCTGACAGGTGAAGTACAGAACCTGAAAGCTTTTGTCCCACAATATGGACATTGTAGTAGACTTTAAATGATTAAAACTCATACAAAGCTCCAGGTAAACATCAGTGAAGGAACAAAGTAAAAGTTATCAAATTATTCTACTTAAATAGTAAGTAAATGTACTACACAATGTACTACAATAAAGGTATAACTAAACATATCGTCACTCGGTAATCTAAGGCTCTATTTTGATAATGTACATGTTAAAATTGGGTGATTTCCTTCAATTTTCTCTTGAGTTTCATTTTTTATCATAGATTTGATTTTGAAGATCCTAGCTTCTATCTTTGACATCTCATGGTTTAATCTGTTTGCCAGAGATTTCTCAATCAACTTACATTATACAGTACATTTGTTCAGTATAATCATTCCTGTGTAGTCTTTTTATTGATGTGATAACATACATGACTCTGGTTGCATGCAATTTCTCACTATTTGACTTAATCCTAGGAGTGCACCTGGCTGATTAAAGAAAACAGATGACGTATTCGGGTTAGGAGAAGAAGCTAAAAATGTTTAAAGTCTTTTGAACCTTTTAAGCAGAAATCTAAGTATATTTGGCATGCTGTTCACTCCTGTCAAATATGAGACTAGGCCTAAGGGCTGATCTGCATTGACTCCTACTTGAAGTATAGGACGTGAGATGGTGCAATGTGTTGACAACTTCCCTCACACTGGGAACCAGCCACTAGAATCCATTGGTTGCTAAATAAATCTCAACCCAGATACGAAACAATATTTTAACGTATGCTCAAAGTAATAACAGAAAAGCTTTCACAATAAAATTGTTTCATAGTTTCTCATCAACTACAGACAATTTAAAATCATGAAACTTATCATAATTACGTAGTGAATATTTAACATACTTTGACTATTTTAGACAAAAGCCATGCTCAGAATTTACAGTTCACCACAGATCAACGCAACGCAGTGGCGAAATAATAGTGAAACAGTTAAATCAGTATTGACATATTTGTTTAATACAACAGGAGGTGCTAAATGCCAGGAAGAAAGAACGGGTTGCGCTGCGAACTAATATATTCATTGGAAAGTTAAGAAAGAACTTGCATCAGTGAGTGGAAATTGTAAGAGGAATAGGGATGAAATAAAGTATGGATTACGCAATAAAGTTAAAGCGTTATTATCTGGACAGTTGGAGGTAAGCCACACTAGGTCGTTGCAAAATAAAGAGTCACTCTTCTCTGTTTAATGATGATTTTAAAAGCATAACCGAACTCCGTCGCGTGCCCTGTAACCGTTAAGTGTCTAGCTATTTTTCAGGTGAAAGTTTTCTTTCCTTTGAAGTGTAAACTTCTTGGGACATTTTCTTCAAACCTGGAAGTTTTCCTAAGTAACATGGTTCAAGATTGATCCCAAATGTGCAGATGTGTACACTCTTTCATCCTCGAAGTCATAAATATTTCACTAATCTAATCTAACTTATACCCTCTTCTTTCTTATACACATATTTGTCTACTTTAATGTCATTCTTTTTCTCACCAGTTCTTGTTTCCATTCTGCTGTGGAAAGTGGTAACTTGAAACGATGCACTTTTGTCTACCACAATCTGGTAGTGCAACACTGTGAAATCAGATGATAGCTCTTCATTAGACAATAGTCTCTTGTTATTCTGAAGGTGACCTGAATTTCACGTCACACAAAAAAGCTAGCAAGGAGAGTTGGGACAATACTTCACATTCTGAGCAAAACCAACATATTAGCTGAGAGAAGAACTTCCATTCCAATTATCATTTACTCATGTCAATCAAATATTGATA